TTAAAACAGATCTGATCAAGCAAGCAGTTCAATTGAAATGATGAATTGATCTAGCCAATATAAGACTCCATTGGCAAAAACACAGAAGAGATGGGTTTGTCTAGAACCAGGGTTGAGAAGCATTGCTGCAGTGTGTTAATATAGCTCATATGCTACCCACAGTGTGACCAGCAGGAAATAACTTTCTTTCGAAAGCATTTGTGGATGGAGTTGACAATCTAAAAGCCAGCAAACAAATGCTTGTAAAAAATAGATTGAATAATTAAAAGGCAGTCTGTATATATATGTATTTTCCTTATCACCTGCTGAAGTATTTTATTTGTATTCTGCATGACTTTTCTATATAGATGCCTATCTAGGCTTGTTCTTAGGATGGTTACAGAAACAGCGGAGAAAGACTGTTGTTGTATTATACCAAGTATTATCATACAAAGCCAAATACATTGTGGCAATTCCCATGACTGTAAAAAGACTGCTTCAGATTTAAATATTCTGATGAAAAAAAACCAAGATTAAAATAATCGATTAAAAAATAATGCACAGAGTCTACCACAAAACATTTTTGATTAAGAAGAGGGAGTTAAATATCCCTATAAGTATAATCACTGTGAGAGTGGGCATTTTCATAATGATCCCCTTCTTAATATGCTTTAATAAACTACCAAAGAAAGTATCAATCCAGAAATCCAGGAAAACAATTAATAATCTTTTCATAAAAGAGTTAAATGAATCTATGAGAAGAACTTGAAAGTTCAGTGCTAAAATCCTTTTTATCATTTTAGTAGCAAATTAATGATCTTCTGTTTATGTGCTCATTAAAACCCAGTGTGTTTAACTAGAACACAGACTATTTTCATGGCTACCAAAGCTTTGTGAAAAAAGTTGTCATGGCTCTGCTCATTAGTCTTGCACTGAGAGAATATGGTGTTCTTCGTAAATTCTTCATGTGCTCCTCTCTTTTGCTGGAAGAAGCAGACCAAAATGCTTTTTTAATTAAAAACAAAAGTGTCGAGTACTGATGCATGCTTTGATTGTTTGTTAAGGAGGCTGGAGATGTTAATGGCCTTTAGGGGAGACAGACTTAAGATTTTAGACATTAGTGCAATCTCAAGCATTGTGTAATTGTGGATGGCAGACTTCTTATTGAAGAAAAGGTAGCACCAATGCTGTCTTGAATTTACTGCCCTGATTCAACGCCATTGTGTGCGTTGTTTCTCTCCCTGGCCCCATTTGGAGACAGGCCTTCACCATGTGTGGGATTTAAAAATGAACAGTTTATGAGAGACGACTAATCCCTGCAGCTCTGCAGCTCGTTAACTCACTCAGCTTGTGGAGGGTGAGAATAGCTCAATCCAGTGGCGAGCTTGTCATCTCTGAGCCAACCAGGTTTACACCAAACCCACTTGTGTAAACTCTCCAATTTATTAAGATGTGGGATGCTGTCTATACTTTCTAAAAGAAAATTATTATTATCATCCTTTGTGATGGAGCATCTCAAATTGCGCTATAAAACAGTGAAAGGAGATAAAAAGGGGAAAAGGAAAGCATTTTAAAGAATAATACTTTAAAGTAAGATTCTGCATGATCCAAGGAGACAGATACCCTGCTTCATCTAGGAACAGCCTAGGTGCATAGGCACGGAAATCCCTGTTGCCAATTGCTCATGGTCTGGCCTTGGAGAAACATACTGTATGAATGGTCCATCTGTGAACTGGGGATTGCGTCTCAGAGCTTGACTGGAATCAACGATGAATAAGCCATTCATGATCTTGAAAGTGAAAAGATTTTAAAATCAGCTTGAAACTAAATTCTTATTCCAGAACAGGATTAATATACTGTAAAACACACAACAAGATCTAGTGGGGACCCTGTTTGACTGAGATGTTACTGTCCAAAGCCCTAGGATCCAAAGTTAAAGTGATTCATTGTACTGTACGTTTGTTTTTATTCTGCACAGTGCTGATCCATGCATGTTCTTTCTGAGGCATTTGTCAGACTCCAATATACTGGAAGATTACAGGCACATTCAGGAGCCCTCGTTTAATTTTAAAAAAGGCATGTTAGAGGGAGCAGGTGCACAGGACATTTTGACACTGTGTGCTGAAGCACACTGGGTAATTAGCACGATTTATGCCACATGGCTATCCTAATTCTCAAGTCTTTATCACTGCAATTCTCAGCAACCATACAGCAGGTGGCAGTGCCAGACAGAAATGAGCTTTTGTTTTGCCAAAAATCTAAGTCATGAATATTAATTAATTAACATGTCTGTACTTTGTAGCAGGAAGCAGTCTCGGAGGATGTATACATGTTTGTACATGGCTTATTGAAAATCATTATTCTTTACTTTGTGATACATTAACTGCTATTACACATTTCAGATAACACAGCATCTGGGAGGAACTTGTTGCCTTTGGGTTAGAGAAATGGCAAAAGACATTATGAAATGCATTTGTGCACATATCCCTTTCGGAATTAGATTTGATTTATTGACAGGAAACTATATGGTGGTGCACACAAGATTAGCTGCAATGACTGAACAACAGCTGACCTTCACCTAGGCATCTACTGCCTTCAGATCATTCTCTTCATCCCACCTCACTAGGGTACAATTTTCAAAAGACCTGTTAACAATTTTGAGGATTACAACCTTCTAGCCTGATACAATCAAATCTCAGAGACTAGGCAAGGCTGGGCAAATATCCCACTGCATTGGCTATAAGCAGGGTATTAACCGCACTGTCCTGGCCAAATTCGACTATGGGTTATTTATTTGGTGAAGTTTTTTCTCACTTCTCCACTTGATGTGCTGTGTAGTGGCAACACTGGTACATTATGGCTTCTACATGTCACCCTGTAACACATACTGTACAGGGTGGAGTAGTGGAGGTCCACTGCTATACATAAAGTGATTTTGGTTTGAGAAAAATAATATAAATGGAACTGATTATCATTAAGGTTGTTATACTGTTAAACATATGAAATATTCTTTAAGGTTTAGACCCAAGTTTGAAAATGGAGTTCAAGGAAATAGTGTATTTTCCTCATTCATCGAATGCATAGCTCTATCTCAGTGCAGAGTGCCAACATGTGCCAACTCCATAATTGAATAGCCGATAATGAAATAATTAGTTTTGCTCGGTGATTGATTGCTAGAAAACAGCTAGAAATGCTGAAAACCATTGATAACAAGAGAGAGGTCAAAAGAAAAATGAGCTGGCTATATCGGCTTTGGTGCTTTTAGCTTTTTTGTCAGTTTCCAAGTTTCCTAAAAACAACAACAAAACTGAGTTAATTCATCACTGTGACTCACCTGATGAAGTCGTGCTTAAAACAATCTGCCTCCCACTGAACATCTTTAAGGTTCATTTATTCTGTTTGTTTTTGGTTTGTTAACAACAAAACAATACCACAGTACGAGTTTCTTACTTTACATTTTTGCCTTTTGCAAATCACCTCTGGATACATTCATGCTATGGACAGTGTGTATAATCTGTGCCTTTTTTATTCACAGCTCATTTACTGTATTTATTAGATATCTCAGAGAATGGCAGGGTGAGAGAATGGCTGGTGCTGCATAACTGGTGAGAGAGGTGGGACTGTTTCTGCAGATGTGAGTTATAAAAATACTGGTGTTGTCAATATCTGCAGAATGCCATTTCTTCTCAAGCAGCAATAGACAAATGAAGTTAAAAATGAAACCCTTAACTAGTGAACTTCCACGCCTTGTATTTTTTTTTTTTGCAGGTAAGGAATTAAAAAAGGAGGAAATCCCACAAACCCCAACTCAAGAACATGACAGCTCAAGAAAGACTGCAAATGAGATCTAACTCCTCCTGCAGGTTTGATGATGTAGTATCTGAAATGCCCTTTTTGAAGGAGCCTCCACGTTCTGGCCAGGAAACCTGGTTCATATATTGAATCGACAACTTTTTTGTCTAAAGAAGCGTTTTCTGTTGTTAAAACTTAAAGAATTGTGCTTTAGTTTCCAGCTGTGATCTTTGAAGCTCACTGCTAGAAAGCTGTCATCAAACACATGTAATTTTCTTCCAAATTTGTATTTTTTTCCCAACATAATTTCACTAGGAATGACAACACCCAAGATGAAAGCGTGGAGCAAAATTGTGGCCTAACCTGCTAGGCTGAGGGCTGGCCTCCCGGCTACAGGACAAGGAGACCAGGACCCCCATGCAGGGTGACCAAGGGGCAGCTGCTGAGGTGGAGGTGCGATGCAAGAAACGTGCAAGAGAGAGAGGGATCTCATAGGTATTTATAGCATTTGGAAGAGGAAAGGATTGTCAGGAGCGATTGCTAATTACTGACGGCTGAGTCTTGATTGAACTTGGTTGTTGTCATCCCTCCCGAACTCTTGTTATAAACAACATTTAAAATTTGAACTTCATTTCACAACAACAGTTCACTCTATGTACTAAGGGGGAAAAAAGATTCACAATATGCTGCTCTTTCTTTCACAGAGCAAACAATAATAAATCCAAAAGGTAATTATAGGTATCTTTGTAGTCTGATTTATGTAATAAAGAAATTTGCAGGCCTAAGTTATCCTTCATTATTATTATTATTCATACGGAAACACAGGACAAATTGCAGGGAAGTAAATTTTGTTCTTCGGGCAAGATGTATCCTCGACACCGGTAATATAAAAGACCCATGTGTGTAAGAATATATTTCATGTTTTGTTTAATAAACAATAACTATGTAAGACTATATAGGGCATACATTCTAGGTCACGGAATAACACATTTTCTGTTTCATGGTAGAAAATGCTTTTTTTTCTGTTGTTCAAAACGAATTGTACACGAAGGGAGCCCAGCAGGCGACTGCTAGTTGTTTTAGAGATTAGCAGGGCGCTTTGTCGAGCCCTGTACTGTGAACAGATCTCTATCGAGAAGGACTGAATCCCTCTTCATAGTGATAGTTGTGCAGCGATGGATATATGTAATTCGCTGATTCAGTGATAATAAAATAGTGCGTTTCTCTTCTTTAAAATATTAAAATTATAATTAGAAAAAAGTAAAGGGAGAAAACGACTGGGACACCTTGTGGTGGAGGTGGAAAACTTAACTGAAGTGCGGGCTGAATCCCAAATCAATTTGTAATCAACTCCCATTAAGTTCACCTGCTCACCTGGAGGACAAGATGGCGGCCGTTTCAAAGTACCGGACTTCTAAAAATGTACAAACGGGAGCGATATTAACTTTAATTATACTTTTAAAAAAGAAATAAGTATAATATACTGTAGTTGTATCATTGCAGCTTCGGTCAGGATCAGATTTTAAGGAACAGGATTTAGTTTGCTGGGTAAGTCGACGTTTGGTTATTGATGTTACGTCGTTTTCTGTTTTCAAATCTATCGGTTTTAAAAGCTTGAAAAGCATCTAGTCAGATTATTGTCACTTAATTTGAAATGAAATATAACCACTCCTAATTTGTTTGTTCATTGTCTTGTTTATGTAGTGTTACCTGACATTTGCATTCAGTTCTTATTCAATATAATTCAAAGCTCGATATAATAGTGTTTTTAGATGTGCTATTCATCAATGGTTTCGATTGTCGAAAGGATGTATGAATTTCAGTTATTTGTGTTCTAGTAATACAAATAAGTGCAGTTATCGTCACAAATATAATGGAAGGGACTTTTAAAATAGGCAATTAGTATTGCAAAAGCTATTTTCCTAGTGACAGAAGTTTATTCCTTAAATGTAAACTCGGTGTGCTTTAATAAATATTGTACTAAGACCAATAATCAATTTTTGCTTACACTGAATTTCAGGCTGGTCTTAATAAGGAGTGTATATAAAAACGTTTGATGCTGGAACTAGCAAACACAGGCATCTTACTGTCCGCCAATTAAAGTATATGATCAAAGTTTTTTTTATTTTTGCCTTCAGGAGTCACATGGGAACATCCCGTTGCTCCAGTCTTCGTGAACTTCATCTTCAAAGAAGAAAAATGCTTGGGAAATACATTTTACGGGTAAGGTGAGTTCAGTTTATCTTACATAGCATTTTAAAATGCTTGGACGTATTTACCTGCTAAAGTGGACCTATTTTTGCGATCTTCTAAAGCCAAACAAAAGCCCCTTAAACCTTTTATGTGAAGGTAATTTCTGGCACCCTTAAAGCACAAGGTAATCTTGAAGTTTCAGATGCCTATTCTAAACTATTCAGTTTTTTATTTAGTGTCTTATTACAATGAGTTTAGGTGGTTTCTATTGTTAACTTATTAAACGGGGAATAGCCCCATCTTGTAAAACATATTTAAAATCCCAGCTGTAGTTGTACCTTTTACAAGAAAGAAATGTTGCCTAAAAAGTAAGCTGCCTCTCTAATGAAAGTTGTACATGCTTTGTATTTAATACTTAATATTTAATACAATATATCCATTGTATATATGCAATGGATGTGACAGTTTTGTTCTTGGCCATTTGTTTCATTAGTTTTCCATTCTAAAGGAATCGCAGTGATATTTTGAAGAGATGTTGTATAGTTGATAGTTTTATCCTTTTACAAAGAACTTTTCATTTGAAAATGGTTGGCTGTGATGGGTTATGCTTTTACAGTAGAACTTACTCTAGCTAAATATGTATTGCCTTAATGAGTGTGGGCAATATTTATTCTGAGGTTTGCATTTGTGCTACACTCTGGTAGAGATAAGAACACAATTTTACAAATTGAAAACATTAGTGTGCTTAGTGAAGGGCCTCTTGCAAATCAGTGCTGATATGCGAACATTAAAATGCTTAGAGAAGTCACATTTATTCTATTCCGAACCAAGGTCTACTGGTAGTTTTTAAATGTTCTTGTTTTGCTTTGTACAGTAAATGTGTGCTAAAGTTTATTTTTCTTTGTTCTAGGTTGTCCTGCAGATGAGGAACCCTTCTGATCAGAAAAAAAACATCTGTTGCTTTTCTTCATTAAACTCTTTTATGTGAATTTATTGTCTTGTCTTGTGTTTGAACTCTAACCAGGTCTGAGTGCCACCCTCTGGATGTCTTGCCTCCAAACCAAGCCGAGGCACAGACAGGCTTTGCGTTTGATATCAATGTGATATAAGCATTGAACCCAACCCAAAGGCTCAGTTTATTAGCAGTCTTAGTTAATGAAAATGACGGGCATTTGCAGAATCATTTCCAGTCTTCTCAGGGAACGTAGTTATGGGCCTTTACTCTCCTTTGCCTGCGAGGTGTGGTCTCAGTGGTCCCTCCAGAGATAAGCACAACTCGGTAAACAAGCAAGATGTACAGCAAACAACACTTTATTGAGCACACAATGGCTGTAAATGTACTATAGTGCAACAGGATCAGAACCATGTTTGGGATATAACCACCCACGACAGCAGCCATCAGGGAAACACTGGAAATTATCATTTACGATAGTAGAATAAAAAAGATGTAGTGTTGGATACTGCACAAATAGTTACAATCTTTTTTTCTGAAAAGTTAAAGCAGGCAAATAAAAGAGCAGTAAACTTGGGTTACACTACTTTGCAGGTCTATAATAGTGTTTAAACATCAAGCAGTTAATGTAAAATTTAAACATTAATTTAAGAAATATTTACAACAGAAAATGGTGCACAACATTCACATTACATAAAGCAGTTGTTAGATGGATCTACAGTGAATTTTAAACAAGTACAGAAATCCAATAGAAAAGGTTTTCTACTTTTCAGCGTGGAGTTAACTTCTGCTTGTTCCTCTGCAGCCCACACAATCATGAAGCTCCTTATTCAAACCTCTAATTTTAAACAGGACAGAATCTTTACTGTCCACAGAGTCTAGATTCAGTAAATAGACATACAGTATCCTCCAAAGTGAGTGGGGAAGCAAAGAAAAAATATAATTTACAGTTAAGCAAGTGGTATTTGTGATCATGAGATTATTATGAATAAGGAACAAGTAATAGGTTTATTCCATGCTGAAAAGAGTAAAGAGAAAACACATTTTGGCTGTGAGGCCTTCTTCAGGTGTGAGAAAGACACGGTAGGCAGCAAAGATTAAACAGCAATGGAAAGTGAGATGAGACAGCCAAGTGACCTGACAGTCCCTTCCTTCGATTAATATGAATATTTACAACATCCAATTTATGTTGGGTTTTTACAAGCAATAATCTCATCACATTGGAACAAAATCATACTTTGTGCTCAACACAGTGATTTCAAATAACCATTAGCACCAGGACACATTTATTTTAGGTAAATTGCACACAGTATACAGTGTTTTGTTTCATACCCCTTTGAAAAAATAACTGCATTAAGTTACAATTATTGAGCTCAAATGACAGTGTTATCCATCACAATGCTTTGCTGCAGCCATCTACGAGTTCTTACCTATTCCTGTTGTATTCCAACTAAACTTTTCTTCATGCATTTCTATTGGTTTTACATCTGGACGTTGACTGAGCCACTTTTGTCTTATGATCAACTCCTTGGTTGCACTGACTATAAGCTTTTGGTCACGGTCATACTGCATTGTGCAGCGCCACCCAAAAAGTATGGAAGCATTTATTCTACATTTTGTCTGTAGAATGTTATTGCAAGCTTCAGAATTCAAATGTAGGCATACAGACAAAGCATGGAAAGTGAGGTGAGACAGCCAAGTGACCTGGCAGTCCCTTCCTTTGATTTCACAAGGGAAAAGAGAGAGAAGGGTCTAACACCACCTGGTGAGGAGACACAGAGGCAGAACTGAAGAGAATGAGGCACACCTGGAATAAGGCAGAGAGGGCATCTTATAGTCCCGTCTGCTGGAATATAGTCACTGAGGTCCTATGCTCCACAGGGTGCAGTGGGCCTACTTCAACAAGCCTGGCAGCTCTCACTGGAGAAGGAACAGAGGGAAATATCAATTGTGCTAAAGCACTCCAGTTCAGAAAATAATTTTTCAAAAGTTCAAAATAGGTAATGTGATATTTTGCGTGACTGTAAATGAACAACATACTTTTTCTTTTCAGATTATTCAGAGATTATTTGTTAAAAATCAATATGATTTCAATTGTTCGTCAAATATTCATACATAATGTGGCACAATGTTTTAAGGTACATACAAATTATGAGTACTATTAGGAAAAGCACAGTCCATTATTTATGAGAGAAAATCTCCATGTACTATAATAGGCTTTTGTCATGAGGAGAAAAGACCTCTGCTGCACACATGCAGCCCCTCCCTTCAATTAGTGGAAAGATTTCATTTTGCAGGCCTTACAAACACACAATCTATCTCAGCAAATATTCCTTCAATATTGCCTTTGGGTGATTTTCCATTTGGACAAATGTTTAATGTGTAGCTCAAAGTAGAAACCGGGTCATCTAAAATGCAGTGTTGATATTCACATATCAAATATACGTCACACGCATATGGTCTTGCACAAATCAATATTTTTGTACTACAACCACCTTTTGAGAAACAAAGGTCAACAGGAACAGCCCGATGACATGACAGATTACACTCTTAATTACACTCAAATGTAATTCCTACATTTGCTTCGCTTCGGCGAGGGTGCATACCCACGTTAACCCGAGAGCCCTACAATATATGTTTATAGATTTAATATAGATACACAACCTCAATATATTTAGCAGTTATTTCTGTTTGGTTTTAATGGGAAAAGTTGTACTGATACTTCTGCATAGCGATGTAACATAATATAGTGTAACAATACCGTTACTTTAAGCCTTATTTACCGCAATTGATCGGGTTTACAAAGGACTGACCCCAGGACAGTAGACGTATTGGTAATGAAAGTTTTTTTTAAGGGTTATACATTCTACATAACTGACAAGCAGAGCCAGTGAGTTTTGAAATAAAAAAACCTACGGGATCAAACATTTCCATGTCCTCGACTACTCTACCAACTTCCGAGTTAGGATGTTTAATTAAACACTGAAATGCCCGTTTCTTTTTGAGCGGTTTTCTTACCATTTCTCTACAGCAAAAAGAAAAAGAGCAAATCCTTAAACTATAGTTTCATGACTCTCGCCCCAACCCGTTTAGAACATAATTTAACATTTCGTCGTAAAGGCATAATACATTATGAAGTTAAAACTCATTAAAGACTTTACCCGTTTGCTTAACCTGTTTTCAAACACGTTTACGGTTTTGTTAAAGATGACTTGAACGACGATTTAAAAGATTTAAAACACTAAAAAGATACAACGACCGTCTTCGCTTCGTTTTGCAACGTCCGCCATCTTACCTGGCACAGCTGAGGAGGGCGGAGTCTCTTCGCAAAACACCTGCAGACTGCAACTGATGAGGCAAAGGCCAATGGTCTTTACAAGTGGATAGTTACTTCCACTTCCACGTCACCTAAACCGCCAATTTATTCCTGTTAAAGCCGGCTTGATAGAGAACCAGCGTCACCAAACTTAGAAGCGGGCTGGTCCCAAGGAGTCTCGAACCCGCAACTGGGCGTAGAGCTCAACCGCTCGAGTACTATATTGAATCTCTATGTGACTGATAAGCACTTCAGGTTGTGTGGCTCATAGGGAGTGCAATAATACCGAGTTGTATTCTGGGCCGAGAAAACATCAGGACCTTCATTCACTGACCTCCTCTTGCTGACAATCATGGTGCCTGACACAGGCAGTAAATGATTTCTGGTACACCTCAAGAATGGAACTGCGCATTTTCGATCTGCAGTTATGGAAATACTAAATCTGTTCAATTTTTTTTAAAAAATAAATAACTATACCTGTACTAATCCTAAAATAATCTGCCAGTTTTTTTAAAAAAAAAACTTCTGGGGGAGACTCGGAACCGTTAGGACTGAGCTTCTAGATCTGGATAAAAAGGAGACACCACTGCCGAGCGCTACTCTCTCTCTACCAGCAAAAGGCTCAAGTTCATCTTCGTTCCGAGTGAATTGCTGAGAGAATGCAGTAGTAAAAATCACGGATTGTGCACTATTAATGTCCAAACCTCTTCCACAGGCATTGCTTTTGCTAGTGCACCAGCAACACTGAAACAAAAAATCCAGTTGAGCATTCTGCTACGAACCTGTAGAAATTGAACTGTATAGTACAGTGTGTACAACCTGTTGCGGCCCACTAGACTAACCTTAAAAAGTAACCATGATTTCTCGTGTTTCTTAAATTTAGAAATATGTCTTGAAGGGGCTCGGGTATTAGCATTCATTTGTCACACACTTTTTGCCTCCTTAAATCCTTACGGTTTTATATAGATTCCTATCCCTCTTTCTGTTATTTCCTTAATACTTTGTATCACCTCAATACTTTGGTAATGAAGTTCTCAGGCATTGATTACTTTTTTCAGCCTTTCTGAATATTTTTTAGAATGAAAATGTGTGGTGCTTAACGCTCCTATATCACAACTCCAGTGCCCTGAGTTCAGTTCTGGCTTGGGGTGACAGTATTAACAGGTCATCCCTGTGTCAGTGTGGGTGCACTGCTGTCTACCACATGATGTGCTGGCTAGGTTTGGGCTGACCTAAGTTGTCTTTTTCTCCATGGCCCTCCTATGGAGTGGGCTTGTAGTGCAGCCCAGAAGCCCTTCAATCTATCCCACCTTGTGATGTGTGCTTTCAGTATAGGCTCCAGCATGCCCTCAGACGGATCTGTGACTGATGATGGATGGATGGAGGTTGGTGTACTGGATACAGTCGGCGGGGTTTATATTATACTGTAAGGCCCCGTTATGCATCGGTCCTGGTTGTGTCTGCTCTCCTGTGTATCTCTGACCCCCGTGTTGTGGGACACAGCTCTAGGAGGTGCAGTCCCTTGGCGAAGATGTACAACATTGGCTTGACTGTTTTTCATGTCATGGATCCCTTCGTACTCTCAGTATATTCCATTATAACTCAACGCATCTGCTTAAAACCCATTACAGCCTTTGAAAATATAGCGTCTGTAAATCCTCCTTCATTGATTAAACAAACAAATCCTGAGTTCTGTTTTATGTTTCCCAGGACATTAATGAAAACAGGCTGCATAGCAAAGCAGTATTTTCTTAGCCTGATGACAAAAATACATTTAAGCACTATGCTAATAAGTTGTTTTTAAATATATATCCCAGTTTTCTCTCAAATAAATGCATAAATCAGCCAAGTCTTAAAAAAAAACTTGGTAAAATACAGAATTTATTTATGCCGTTGAACATTTCAGAGAACCAAATCGGCTTGAGGTAATATATCAAATTTATTTCACTATTTATTTCATAGATATACTAATACACTTATAACAATACACATTAAAAATAATGGGCATACAAACATTTACTCTGCAATGAATTTTTTAAAATGAATGACTGAATCATTTTATAGTCATTACATATATTTTACTCAAAAATAACAGCACAAAATCACATATTTCAAATAAAATACATTCATCGTCCATTTTGAGATAAACCTTTTTGAAGTGGATATAGTTCACTGATAATCCCTTTGTCATCCAGCAATGAAATCCACTGTAAGGCAATTTCAAGTACCAGACTGCCACCTGCTGAGCATCAGTGTGAAATCAAATTTATTGTAAACTTTATTAACTGTATACAGTATATTCACAATTATTTGCACGGGAAGAGTTGGTCCTGTGAATGTGTGGTGTATTAAATCTAGATCGTTTTATTTTCAGAGGCAGCAGTTTTAAAATGTCAGTAATTCCAAATAACAGCATGGAGAGTGTGCACATTAATGCACACCAACCTTGGACCAGCAAAGAGCTTTAATAAAGTGTTTTTTCCTTTCTCTTTAGAAGTAAAATTCAAGGGGAAGAGGTCTCCCTTTAAAAGTTTGGTTTAGTTTCCTTTAATTCTGAAAATACCCTCATTTTTCAATCATTGCAAAAGCTGTGTACACATATCGTGTTTAAGCATCACAATATAGATATATTGTCCAATGAAGCAGCCTTACCAGTGTTGTACTGCTTTGATTTGTTTGATTACTGAAATAGTAGCAATCGTTCTAGAGGAGCTGAGAATATGGCTTGCTTGTTGCTTTCTCGTAGCACCCCTTCTTGTTTCTCTGATGATCCCGAACTTATAAGTTGAGCCCGACACCGACAATATCCTCCACTGTAACCCTGGATGGAAGAATGACTGGTTTGTGTCTGGCGCTCGTCTTTATTGCTTTTTACCAGCATGCACAAGCCCTGGGTCTCTGCTAGAATGAAGTTCCTGAAGGACATGCAGCTTCTACAGTGATCTTAGGCACCAGTGATTGCTTCCAGTAGCTGTGCTGTCTGATTAAATTTACCTGAACACCTTTTAAAACTCATAAATGTAACAGTACCAAGTGCTGGGTTTTACTTGGCTCTGGTTAAGGTTCAGTTGTTCTGTGTATATTTCTTTTTCTCTGTTTCGATAACTGTCAAAACAAGCTAAAATTAGCATAAAGCACAGGAATGCATTAAACCAGCATTTGGAATAGTGAGAAGCTGCTTAAGGATACCCACAGCTCTATTGTTGTTTGTCTCACTGTGAGGAGAGGTTGATACAACAGAACAGTTTTTATGTTATAATTATGCAAGGGAAGCATTTTTATGCACGCATTTGTTTGTTTTGATAAGGTTTAGATGGATAGTGATTGTGTATACAGTATGTATCATATACTGTACATGTTTTAACACCAAATGATTTTCTCTTCCAGAATCTTAATAAGAAAGACTGTATTAATGCAGAGTTATATAAGCCCAAGGTTGTTGACAGTATTTACTGCAAAAGCTCTTAGAGAAACAATCTGTACCTGGGAAATCTTATGAGCCATTCAGTAATGAGAGCTACATTTGCCCACTGAAAATCACATTGCAGTTTGCCTAATTATCTTTCACAACAGTTCATTTTTTCTTACTATAGACTTATTATACTTAATATAATTGACCATTTTGCTATGTATAGTTTTTCAAGGTGGTTGCCCTGCACTGTACAAATGAATGAAAAATAAAGGGAGGTATTATGTTGTACACAACATTTACATGCCTGTCTTTTTGCAGCATCTCTTGATTTTCTACAATACAAACAACAGAAAATACTTTGGGCAATTTTTGTCATAGGTAGAGAGAATGCATGAACCTACAGCAAAAAAATCACAGACAACAGAATTTCATGTCCTCAACCACCACCCCACGTACTGATAAAGCACAAATAATTGTGCACAGAAACTGGACTACATTTCTCAAGTTTCATCTGCAGGAGCCATTCTAACACACCACACCCTGCTAATTTCATATAGAAAGGAAAATAACTTTAAGTTCTTTTCACAGTCCACAGTGAGATTCATCCTTTTGAAGAGCTTTTAAATAGGTAATTTTCCATGCAATATACTAAAATATACTACTTGCAAATATATCAATCTCAACACAGCTTTATACCATTGATTGCTATTTGTCCTTTACACATCATGTTCCTGTGTAAAAAACGGTTAATGTCATGTAAAAATGCAACTAAATCTAAACCTAAAAGATTAACTGAGGGTTTTTATGCGGAAACTGTACAAAACTTTCAAATTCATACCAAAAAATTTCCAGCTGCTGACACTTTGGTAACAATATTCATAATGCTGAAGACATTAACCATCTGTGGAGCAAATCAGTGTTATTGAACAAATGCTTCCTGCAGACAAAAGGAGAAAGAACTGATCTTCATACTGGAGAATTAGGAATGAATCTTCTCCTATTCTGACGAGCACAGAATGTTTTGAACTAGTTTACTGTACTGTGATTATATTTCTTCTTCAGCAGCAGAAGAAGGATGTTTGTCCAAAATGTCATGAAACAAATTATGTTTTAATCATTAAAACCTTGAATACAACATAAAACTTTCCGCTTCAGCTGTAAAAATGTGTATGTGTTACATCATTCCGAAATGCTACAGAAATGTAAAAGACCAGGAAGAAAATTTATTTTCTTCTTTTTTGCCCCTTCTGTAGCAGAAAATTAAGGTGACATAATTCTTTAAATGCTTTTTGAGAACGATATCACAGCTGCTTTTCAGAATATTTATTCTAGTATGTGAGACAGTACTCTACATTACCATTTTCAAACCTGCTTCTACTATGTGCTAAAAGGAATATGCAGTGTCACAGGAAATCCACTTGAAAACGCTTTTCACCATCTAAACTGCTGTCTTGTACAAAGTCTGATGTGACAGTAAATTGATGTATTAAAAATAGTAATCATTGATTTCATGTTTTGTGCCTTATACTTTGGGACCCTCTGTGAAAGTAGTGGTTCAAACCTCACGTGTAGAATGAGCATTTTGTCCTCCGTAGGACTATAACCTTCCTTTGGAACAGAATGGGCTGCTGGACATTGTAGTGCAGTCTTCTTCTAGTCACTGCAAATCTCTAAGTTATTTGATGGCCAGGTTCTGTGTAAAACAGCTATAAAATACTTCATACGCTAAATAAATTAAGTTAGTTCACGAAAGGAATATCAGCTCAACACTCTGGTATTCGGCACACATTTTCTCATGGGACTGTGAAACCTTACTTTCCTGTGTTAGATAACCATGGCCGTATGGACCCTAGATTATAAATAGACAGGGGCTACAGTTTGTTAGGCACCAGGAACATTTCAGTTGTACCTCTTTCATCGGAAGAAACTCAATGTGGCAGAAACTGTCAGCATTTTGAATTCTAGGCCTATTTTGATGAATCTTTGCAGACATGAGTTTATTAGTTTGTAAAGTGCTCTGTGCTGCTTGCATGAAGGATGACATTGATGGACTGGAGCTGGGTTTCACAACACGTCTTTGCTGCCAGCTTGCAGTGGGCCGTGGGCGTTGACAAGGGCTCACTGATATACCACCTTCACACAGAACGTCTCCTCATTCTTGTCTTGCTGGTCATTGATGAAGATGAGAATCTCCTCGACTCCTGCACTCTGGCTGGGTGCAAAGCGAAGGCCAATGGTGTATACCTCCCCAGCTCCAGTCTGGAACAAGACATTTTAAACAGGACGTTCAAGCAACACAACAAAAAGGGTTGACATAGCATTTGTTCAGTTTGACACTGTTAAAACATTTTACCCCTACTAATAAAAACATTAAGACTATACTAATGTTTTATTATGTCCTCTGTTTTTGCTTTGTTTAGAATGAATAGAGAAACGCACCTGACTCAAAAAGTGAGTTGTTTAACAAATAAATCAAAGATTTATTCATATAAAGTAGAAGGAAATTTTGATAAAATTCATGAGTAGGGGGCTGATTAGTTTAATGGTCTCAGCAGTTAAATAAAACAGGAAATTAACTTGGATCGTTATTAATGCTGCTAAAAAGATCTACTGTACCTATTTCTGCTGTTTTGCATTTGTTATAGCTGCAGGAAAGTTTAATCTGGATTTTCTTGATAAGTGTTATTTACTCAGTACCTTTGCTAATTAAAATCTAAAAAAAGATTAAATTAATGGATTTTAATAGGAATCGACAGACAGGTCTAGTCTAGTCACAGGGATATAGGTTTATAAATACAATCTGGAAATTTACAACAGAAGACAACTGACTCTAAAGTCATTAGAATTACCACCTATTCTTGAGGATCTAATTTTCATCATGTTTTACAAATGGGGCCTAAGGTTATGCCTTTAAGGCTGAAATTGTCAAAACCAAAAGAAAGGTATTCTCCACTCAATAATTTATGTTGAATGTGCGAAATAAAATCCTGAGGCTGTTGATATCAGTCTGTGGAAAATGCATGTGAAATACTGTTATGAAACTGAGAATGAAGGAAAGAATTTCAGAGAAGTAATTTCATATACCTTTATGCTCTGTCTTAAACAAGAGCCAGCTGTACAGATCCAAACATTCAATTATGAAGTCAAAATAAAGCAGTTTATTTCGTCATGGCTGAAATCCAATGTGTCAATACAGTTTATTAAACTAATGTCTCCATGCATGCAACATTGCAGCACATACACACAAACATACAGGCATATTTAGAAGGCTGAGGTAACGCTCAGTACAGAGTAGACCTCATTGTACTGAGCCAACTCTGGGAGGCAGAGCTGTACCAGTGCTCACCTCAAAAGTGTCCTCTTTGAACTGAAGCAGGTCTGGGCGGTTAGTGTGCAGGAAGAAGGCTCTCTGGGAGGGATAAGGATTGGTGTAGGTAATTTTCTTGTTGCTGCCCTTTCCCCCTCCCACTGGGAGTGAAATTTCAAAGGCCTGGAAAAGACATAAAAGAAAAGAAACACCATTTTTCTCAAAGGAAAAAAAACACCTTCCAAGTGGAAACCGCTCAGCACTTTCACTTGCTGTAAAAAAGATACCAGAAAGATGTATTTCATGCTGAAAAGAGAAGAAAGGAAACACAACGTTTCAGCTGTGGAGCCTTCTTCGGGTGTGAGGTTGCTCAGTCAAAACGTTGTGTTTTTTTTCTTCTCTTTTCAGCATGAAATAAACCTTTACTTGTTCCTTTGCAGCCTACCCATGCTGACGCAGCTGCCTACTTGAACTACATCAGAAAGATGTCAGATTAGTTCTAAATGAATTTCAGTGCAGGAATCCTTCTGTTTTAGTTATCTATGTCACAACAGAATGAAGTCACAGCAGTGTGCCATGCATTCAGAAATTACTGACAGAAAAATTATCGAGTGGGATAAAGGCAGACACTTTAAAGAGGAGGGAGGAGAATTCAATAGGAAATGTATTTTTAACATGCTTAAAAATTAATTTAAACTGAAACCTTAGTCACAGAATTATTTCTGCTCCTACGTGTCCATGTTTTTGTCTTATTCCTTTATTTCTGTCTTGGCTGTTGAAGGACCTCTACATATATTTCTGCATTTCAAAACTGTTTTTATAATGCACTTATTATGGTTTTGCCATAATTAAAATAATACAATTATTTCAAAGAATTCTCTCTAAACAGAAGTCAGAATAAAAATACATTAAAACGTGTGAATAGAGCCATTTACTGGACTGTTACATAGTTTAAATTCTGGATCAATCAATGTCCTGAACAATTGATTTAATTGGGAGATGCATTATATACTCATGACTAATGACATGCATTACTTCCTATTGAACTACAGCAGTAGTAGCCAAGCCTCATTACCTTTGATATAAAGGGCTGTTTACAGGACACGCAGACCAACCAGGAGGCCACAAGCTGATGAAACTCTACATCAACCACGTTCAGGTAGATGAACTTGCTGCCAGCTCTCTGTGGCCGCACACCTATCTGGAGGTCCTGGACTGCATTTGGGGGAAGAACAAACACTTCCGCTGGGTCAATCTGTTATAAGGGAAAATAAGAAGAAATGTCTGCCACTGATTTGCAAGTATAGTCTATTTCCTGTACAGTTTAATTAAAGCATGTTATGACTTTGATCTATTTAAAGCACATCTGACATGATCTATTGTTAGCACATCTTGTACATGCAGTTTGTTTTTAACTACCGAATCTGGGATATCCTTGCCTTTTCTAGTTTTTGTAAAAAGTACTGAGGTAATATACAGATGTCTTCTACAAAGGCACTTGCCACAGTCAGTCGTCCAATCCTCAGTGCAAACAATGCAAGCTCTACAAACAAAATAACCCCTTCAAAGGCATCTCCAGTGAATGTCAAGACCCAGTACTTTATTTTCATTAGAATTATTTAAACACAGGGCATTGCAATTGTGCAACTGCATGTAACATCTCTTTATTGAAATAACATTTCCCATTTTCTCTGCCGCAAAATGTGTCAAACTACAAGAAGGTTCCCCTCATTAATGCAGAGCGTTGGTTGCTAGAATTGTTACGGTCAAACTGGGAACAGGGTAGGGTGAAACACAGGAAATACTGCACAGTGTATGTACCTGAAGCTCGTGGGGATGAGACGTGTAGCACTTCACCTTCCTGACAGCCTGGGTCCCTCGGAGGACCAGCGACAGCCCAGTGAGCTGCCCAGTCAGGCAGCTGACATCCACTCGCTGCAGCGAATGAACATAGAGCTGCCAGATCTGAACAGGAACAGCCAGCCATGGGTCCCTGCAAGAGCAAAAACAATCAAGACCTGCTTGCTTTTTCAAAGAGACTTCATTGCTGCACCACTGCAATCTAGTAAAGTACAGCAAGCTCCCCAGTTAGAGGTACTGTATAGGACCATATGATACCAACAATAGACTATAAGAAAATATTGGCAAAATAAACACAAGGTGCTGTATAAGCATGGTAAAATCTGAAGAAAATTAAAAATAAAATACTGTGCAAATCTGCTATAATGAACGTACAGAAGAGTTATTAAAAGTTATTTCCTTGTACATACTGTACACTTTACTGTACATACAATTTTCAAATTTGCTACCCACCTGAACTACATACCATTTTCAAATCCTACTGTATATACTCAGATATACATTTTGATATAATTTAATGTCTCTGATATGAATATAGACTGACATTGAAAAGCTTTAAGATATAATTTTAAGAATCATTTTCTTTCTCTTCTGCATAACTATTTACATTTCACTAATCATTACATCCAAGGCTTAATTTTGATCCGTGACGACACCATGACGTGTTAAAACTCTGAAGCTGTGCTTGAGCGAGACATGAGGAAATCTCAATGCCAAGTCCAATCAGGGCACAAAACTGACATTGAGATTAGGCACAGCTGATTAATCACAAGAGAGATGAGCGCTTTTTTCCAGTGCAACAGAAAAGAGCTGTCAGTGTTCTAATGTAAAGGAACAGAAAGAAAGGAAGAGGATAGGTGCAGATTGTTCCTGTACAGTCATTCAAGTCATGAGGATTCACACTGACATTTCAAAAGATACAGTAGGTACGGTACGCACGTGTAAATCATGACGAAAAATTTCTTTATTTGCGGGCTCGGACCTACTGCCACTTTCAAAAAAACATCCTGCGGTTCCCCAGGAGCCTGTAGGGTTTAATAGGAACACAGAAATTGATAAGTAAATAGCATTTTTAGTGCTATTTTGAATCTATAAGCTTCAGTGCCTTATTGACAAATAGGGTTATGCTGCAGGACAAAAAGCTTACAACAAATGGTCTCCGCTTGTGTTCTGATCCGTTATTAACAACATCTTTCAGCAGAATTCTGTCTCTATACAGAGATATATGAAAGCTTGAAGCTTTTTGGCACACTGAACAACAAAATAATCTTTCAGAAGATCCTCCCTCACATCTTTTGTTTTCAATGGTTCATCAGCCTGTTTTTAAATTTACCATCTTTTTAGTGTCACAGATGATATTAGGGTCGCTACAGCGAACATACACTTGGGGCTCCCCTCCTTGTCCCCCAACTGTCAACCCTGAAAGAAAAAAAATGTTATTCAAATGTTCTATTCAAATAACCTTTCTATGAGAATCCAAGGGATTCTTTCTTTTCTTGATGCAGAACACTTTATGCAAACTGAATCCCACTGCTGACAATCATTACTTTTCTTAGATATAATTAAGTCTAATGAGACTTAGTCCCCCTCCCAGTCGTTTTCTCTTTACACCTGATGAATCGAACCAAAGAACATAATGATATTGTAAAACCGGAATTATGGAGCTCAGCTCTATGGAACCTAACTTTACACACACAAGGGCCTTTAATCATTTAACCCCAAACCCTGAGAGTACTGATACCTCTTGCCTCCTCCTACACCAAGATCACTGCAATGAGTGTTAGACCAACAAATCACTTCACAAATCATGGATGCTTAAGATGTCGTAGCTTTTTCTTAGAAAAGAAATAAATCAATGAATCAATAAAACTGAGAAGTGCTTTACTACACAGTACCTGGCACAGTGTGCCATGGGGGAAGGCGAATTGACTTCTTCAGGAAAGACAGCTCGGGTTGGTAAAATCGAAAGGTCTGATCAATAACGTGTGGCGTGGGTTCTACATTCACTTGGCATAGAGCCAGCGGCTTACTGTCCTCAGCTCTGAACGTGACCTGAAATTGCAGGAAACAGAAAGGATTAGGACATTGAATGCAGCTCTAGAGCAAACTACAGGAGTTACTGCTGTACTGCTGTACTTGGAGGGATAAGAACAGCACTGCATATGTGTTTCATGTCGGTAAATCCGGTGGCTTTTGATAACATCCAAGCAGCCACAGCACTGGGAATTAGGCGCCAGTCTTTTCAGTGATTATCAAACAATAGCTGGACTTCTGACCCTATTTCGATATCTATGTAGCAAATGGTCAAAGTTATGTCAACTGCTTATAATGGGTGTTTGTGTCCATATAGCTCATATACTGTATATATATACTGTATATTTCTCCTATAATATTTTGGGACTGAAAAAACATCATCCATGATTTAACAGACATTCAGCAATATCAGATACCACTTCTCCCCTATTAGTCTGTTAAACCAAGGTTCTACTGTAAATATTTTTTTCTACCATTATTTTCAAATTTTGAAATTTGTGGCTCCCTGTCTGAAAGCATGCAATAGTTTATATACCACAATAATAGTCCTCATGACAAGAAGACCATCTTGGCTTCTGCTAAATCTTCCAAGACTTCTCTAAGCTGCAAACTTGAATGAAGTACAACAATGGTTACATAAGGTACTGTAGGTTGCTGTGAAGTTTTTTGTGGCAAGTTGCAACTATAATGAACATGGCTGCCACAGGCCAATAAAAGTTCTATGCTGATTGTATATATTACATTAAAGCTTAGTGCTAAAGTTTGCCAGACTCATTAAACATTGTGTAGACTCAGGATTTTCCTGGAACTACAGGGAATCTGGAAATAAGGCTGATTAGTGTCATGGCTTGGTCACATAGTATGGATTTCCTATGGAAGTTATCAAGAAATTCTCACAACTATAAAAAATCTGTAGATACTGTAGATTTGAAAATGAGTGTACAATGCTACTTCATGTTCAAGATTTGCACCTGTTCAGGACTTGATATTGCTTGATCACAATATAGGATATGATGTTTTCTGATGGTATATTTAATCATGTTTTACCTCAAAACTGATCTGACAAGTTGTGACATTATAAAACAGAGCACATCAAATTTCAGATATACTTAATCTGCATATTTCTGGATACGATTAGAAAATGTATAATGTGGTAAACAAATGTAAGTGTGGCATGGTAACCTTTAGAAATTGTAGGATATAAATTAATAAATATGTATCAAATATGATTTGTTAGCCATATAAGACTTTGATCTGTACTTAAATTACTTAAATCTCCTTGAATGGAAATATAGATGTAGGGTCATAATGGAATACATGGAAAACCCTACATATTCGGTCAAAAAATATCATTTTTCATGACTTCCAACCTCTCTTAAAAGTTAAATGCAAAACTGGGTTATAACTCGTGGAGGATGCAGACAGAGATATAGTTATTCTGTAACACAGGAAGTAAGCCATGCTACATGTTCACTATAAAATGTCTGCCTACAGAAAAAGAAACATGAATTAGCCACTATTTACTGTATTTTCAATTTATTAATTATAAATTGTGGGGTACTATAGTTTATTCTGTGAAATTGAAACCTTTTACGTACTGTAAGTGTCTGTTTGGAATGACACACTTACTTTAATTATCTTTGGCTGAACTGTTTTTGCCTGCTGATTTTGTGTAACATTGGCACTCCTATTCAGACGTGCATCTGTTGGTCCCTGGTAGGATTAAGAAAAATATAAATTTATGAATGTCATTCAGTGTTAGCATCTTAGTTATGCACTACACTACAAAAAATGGACTGTTGCAGAATGTTTTGACTAACTCCTCATTAATAACTATAATAGCTTAACATTCTCTGGTGGATTATTTAAGATATTACTAAATCAAAACCAGAAATGCAAACCTTTCCCAGTTTCTATTTACTCAATGATTATAATTTTAACAATTAATTAGCAACCTAATGCATACAATCTTTTCATACTGGAACTGGAAGGAATATGTCTCTCTTAAAATATAATTGTTTCTGGAACTGCATGCCTGCATCGTAGCGGTGTGGTCTGCAGTGAAGGTCTGGTATTTGAAAGGAATGTGGACAGTCTCGTTGGGGCGAAGGTAGACCTGGAGCTTCAGAGTGTTTTCTTGGAGGTGAAACATGTCGTCTTCCAAGGGAGTCAGAGTTTTTGTCAGGTCTTTAAAATGCCTCCATTCCCTTGAGTCCACAATAACACTGCCAAAATACAAATCATTACATTTCCAAAACCCTGCAAGACCTTTTTTTTCTTTTAGTTGAAAAGAAAATACATTATTTGGTTCAGAGACACACCATCAAAATAGATTGAAAGGCTCTATAGGACAAGCAAATGAGATGTCAAAGAAGAAATGTTGTGTGTGGCCACAAAAACTGAATTTTTCTATTATGTTTTTTCTTTCATGGACATGTCTTTTCTGGCATATCCAAGACCTACTGTACATCTATACATAGGCCCCAACACACATGTGGATTTATGGAGAAAATGCAAACATTTTGTAAGTGCTAGCCTTTGAAATGTTTAAACCTGTGATGAAATTACTACACAAAAAAATCAATTTAAAATAGAATAAGAGGCATCAGTACTTCATTTAAAACCTTGAAAAATATAGGTAACTTTCATGTCTCAAACAATTTCTGAATAGCAAAAACAACATCTACAGTAATAAAAAAGATACTATAATAACAGTAGAAGAGAATCTCTTTCTTTTGTTAGTCTGGTAGTGAGTCTATGGGTATGAGCAACAGATGATTTTTCTGTTGGTAGAAAATGTTATACAAAGACTCAGAGCCCTGTTGCTTTGCTATGAACCAACCTTTAATCTAACTTCGCTCTTTCTCTGATCTCCAGTGTACCCCACTGAGAATTTGGCAGGGAAACATCCCTTTTTTATTTCCTGTTGATCCTTAAAGCCATAATGATTCATCTGTGTTTAATTCAGCCAGGTGTTTAGTAAGATGAACTACTGTCTGCACAGTGCACAAGGGACTCAGTGAGAATGAGGAATTTGGAACTTCTTTTTGCTAATGAGCTCAAACATATTCGTTTTCCTAGTCCACAGACAGCAATGGTGATCTTCTCTTGATGATCATTACTACCCTGTATTGAAAGCAGACTGGAAATTGAACCCTCTTTACCTAATTAATAATAACCCTGCCACGCACCTGTCAGACAAACAGAGCTCTCTGCTGTTCGATAATCGTTAGCTTTTCTTCAGTATATGATTTTGTACACTCAGACCAGACTTGCAAACATATATCGATATACAATAATAAAAATAAAGCTATTCACAATGGAATGCATGATTCTAGCAGCAAGTCTTCAGAGTGGGTTCATTTAAATAGTGAAGTATGGTAAGCAGTAAAGTTGTGTATTGCCACAAATGTATTATGCAAGATGCTCTAATTTTACTTTACAGTTGCAAGGCAGAAGATGCTGCTGTTTGTCTGATTAACAATGTGTTTCCGACACTACCATCTTCAATTTCTACAACTAGTACAATAGCTCCCACTGTACTGTATATATTGGAAAGGATAATAAAGCATTATAATCCACTAATTCATAGCTTTTATGCGCAGTCTTTCATTTTTCAAAATGAGAACAAACTGAATTTAATTTTTAAAGATCACTGAAAAGAAATGTTGTATGTATACTATAATTACATTTTAACTGTTACATTTGGATTCCTGCCATATGACACAAAGGCTAAATGACTGTTAATTTCAAAGGAGTAACATCCAATCTGGAGATCAGGGAAGCTGTGTACTCATAACCACCAGCTACTTAATATTCAAAATTTAAAAACTACAGTACAAACAAAAACCAGACAGGAAAACAAGTCACTGAAACCAGAGGTGAAGTAAAATGAAGTATAAGAAGAAGTAGACCAAGTGTTATTTTTTATCATTAATATTTCCAACTTTGTTTATATGACAATGAAGTGGTTGAAGGCTACAGAAAGGTGTAGAGTCGTATTTGGACTGACGTGACCTGAATGGCACGGGCACACCTACTGTACCTGAGCTCTTTGTCCTCACACTCGATGGTGATGGTCTGCTGCACGTTGAAGGGATTTTTCAAGGCAAACTCAAAGAACTCAGCTGTACCCAGAGTGGCGTAGACAATGTGCTGGATGGTAATGGCTTTGCTCAGCATGTTAGTGATGCTCTCTACTTTGCTCCGCTCTCGGTATGCTTCAATTATCTGCAGATCCTGAGAGTGCTGAACTCGCTCCTCTCTGCGGGTCTGTTGAGAGCAGAGACAAAAATGTCCAGTCAAGCAAGCTGAATTGAAAAAGCATAGCAGTTAAGCTTATTACCTTCCCCTAATGCCAAATCCTACCCTCAAGGAGGTTCTCTGCTTGGGTGCCGTACAGAGCAGTGGTTAGGGTTGTGGACCTATTACTGAAAGGTTGTGGGTTCAAGTCCTGTTGCAAAAATGGCTACTGTAAGCATGGCCTACTCCCAACTCAGTCCACACAACTGTAGATATTGTACAAGCATTGCTGAGGGTAACCCTGTAAATGACCAGTGTCCCATCCAGGGGAATCATGCTCTCTCAGTCTGCATAACACTGTAGAAACGAGGACAAGCTCCATTCAGTTGAGTCTCCAAGATGTAGAGTACTTCTTTTTGTTGTACTTTAATAACTATGAATTAAAGGGTTTTCAGCCATCTCTGGCCTTCCTTCATGTCTTTGCAAATTTGTACAGATATTGTGCCACTTTAATTCTGAATCACATTGATCACAATCCCTTGTCACCAGTAGGTTCACACAGTTCACACAGACATTTCCCTTGGTGGAGATTCCAGCTATAGCTGGTCTAGATTAAAGATCTGTATTTCCATGTTTCTCAACATGATTTGAAAACTGAATTTGTCCATTACAACTGCGTTTCTCTGATTCTATCCATAAAGTCCTAGCAGGAATGGTCATTATTCCTCCAGGAACCAGCTTGAGAAACAAGGCACTATTTTGTATCTGGGCCAACGTGGCCAGTACCAAGCAAGTCCTGAGGAGGAAATATACTATAACGAGTGAAATCTTAACCCATTTGTATAATAGATGTGATGCTATTAGTTAATAAGGGTCACATGACTGTGATCTCCCAATCCTTTGAGTTTTTTGTTTCTCACCATGGTGTAGGGCTTCGTCTCACTGATCTGACCCTCTCTCTCATAACGGCGAACTTCCATCATCCGCTCCAACTTGCGCTGACGGATCTCGTCCAGCTCCGGGTCAGCGTGCCTCAGAGCAATGCTTGCCTCCTTCATTCGGCTGTGCAAGAGGGCAGCCAGCTCGCTGTCAGTATCCACTAGTCTCTGGGCACGGGAGGAGTTCTTTACTGCAGAATGAGAGGTAAAGTAACAATAGTGCTTAAAAACTTGCACTGTGCTTGAAATATTCCCATTGCCTACTTAGAAATCTGTAAAACAATGTATACCTTAAATGTTTTTCACATCATGATGTGTAAATTGGACCAAATGGTAAATTGGACAAAATGGCTCACAGGCCAAGATGTAATGCTTGTTTCTGCAGAGTTAAAAGAAAGGAGAGTGCAGCACCACCCTAGAAGGCAAGCAGGAACCCACTGATACAGACCTGACTTAGTTCATTAATCCAGTACAGCAGCAGTGTGAAATCAGGGGCTTCAATCTGCATTAAATGTATATCATGAAGTATTTGGAGGCCTATAAATGAGGTGGTTTCACCTATTTTATATTTTCAATTGAACAGAAGCTCAGGTACTGAACTGGGATGACAGCGTCGGGAAAGCATGCCAAGTAAGTTTGCAATTCTTCAACTAGTAATTGCAGATTCTAACAGCAAGAAGCTTCACATAAACACAGCAAAGGACCAGGATCGAGGAACATTAATGAGTTATTGAAAACAGAAGAAATGTCATTATATCCCAAAAAATATTTCTAGGAGGTCTTGTTCCTCTTCAATGATAACTGATTGAATGATTTACTCAAGAGGCTCCCCCATCTCTCTTCATCAGCCACTTTTCTTTTCCCTGAAAATCCCCATGCTTTAGGAGATCTTGAGTCTCACAGAGTGTCGGACATCACAGATACTTCTTTGAATTAGGCTATTTGGCAACCTGAATATACTTGAGTGAGAAAGGACAGACCTGTTGGGAGATTCATTTACCATGAATAACACAACATGTAGAAAATGCCACAACTAAAACCTTACAGTCCATTAAACAGGTTGAGCTGAAGAGTTCAAAGGCAGTCAGATGTTTAGATTGTAGTTGAATGGTTTGTTTTTAAATGTGCTTATGTACCAGTAACCTTTTCCACCTTAAATAGACAAAATGGGAGAACACTTCTGAATGTACTGTATGGTATCAGAGTCTTTTTGTTTTTTACAGGTTCAATTGTTCTTTTCTTAATGTTGATATTAATTTGGAGTGTCTATTCTTTTCTCTCTAAAGTAAGACGCTATATATCGTGCACCAACACGGTACAAAAGCACACCCACTCTCAAAATGGCAACCATTCTGACCGTTGAGACTGCAGAGGCTCTTGGAAGAAAGGCTGCCACCAGCAAAGCCACTGGTGCCATCATGGGCTGACACGACACGTGACTGTGAGGGAGGCAGAGTCCCAGTCCTCCTTGCTTTCAGGTTTACATGGTGCCCTAAAAAAAGACAGAAAAAAAGATATTAAATACAAAGAATTCAATCTTTTCCCTATTCTCTGTCACTTTCTTCAGTTCCCTTCAGCACGCTAACTGATTTGGACAAAGTGAGATCTGTAGACGGTTTCAGGAACAACGGTCACATGCAAACAAGTAATTTAACACTCCCATATCTTGTGCATAGTTATTACAGCTGGAGAAAGAAAAGCCCAAAAGAGGTTTGGTCTACCTTTTATAAATATGTGAAGTGTTTTTTCTCCTTCATTTATATAATAACATAGAAGGCACTGCTAAAAGCTGCTCTTTTTCTGGTTTGTGAACTATTGCTAATGACGTGTGTAAGACCAATTTATTAACACAGAGATGCTTTTGTATTTTGTATTAGGTAAGTCTTAAGTGCTTGTATTTTGAGGAAAGCAAGATTGTCAAATGTTGTCAAAATTATGCAAAAAAGTAGGAAAATGAATCCAGAGGAAACATAAATGACCATATGGGATTTTCCTAGATAATAGAGATCTTAAAAAGATTTAAGATATGCTTTGTTAAATCAGAAGCTGATGACTGAAATAAGCACATCTACAAAATGCGAAATGACTCCCTTGAGATAACTGTTATGAATGAAACTAGGAGAATTTTAGAAAAGTTACTTACCAAGTGAGACACATGTGATGCTGTGCAGTAAAACAGACTGAGGTTAATGATTGGTATATACTGTACTTTGAGGGGGATATACTTCAACAGTCCTTCAGTCTGTATCTCAACTTTTTCACATATAAAAGCAAAGATTTAAAATATGTATATGGAATATAAATGCAAATGTGTTTTTCCTTGTACACTCAGAATGTGTATACCGGTAAGGAAACATTTCAAGGTCAAGCAAGAGAACAATTTAAGAGATTACATTTGTTTACAGAGCTTTCTAGGCTTATGTCCTACAAAAGCAAAAGGACACAAAAGAAGTGGATAATATAAAAGATTTAGCTTTCATATGGAAAATAGTCAAGATATTATTATTATTATTATTATTATTATTATTATTATTATTATTATTATTATTATTTCCACCTTAGTTGAAGATAACGTGATCAGAGAAGCCTTTCTAAAACCAATTACCAATTTTCTGGCATTGTGACTGCTTCAGAGACAAAGAAATGAAGTGATCGCTTCTGCCTCTCAGGAATTAAGAGCACAATATACTGTACACGGATGCCTTTTTAATATAAAAAAATTCTGAGTTAATTTCTAATCCCACAGTAGCAGCCCACGTTCCCTCTATTCCTTTTTAATTACAAGAGCCTTTCACAGCATCAGTACAACACAACCAGAGTCTCTATCATATCGTACACTGACTCTTTTCTACATTTACAGGAAATAATCTATTCTACTGATGTCTCCATGAACCAAGACAAAAAACAGATGATTAATCTGCTGTCTTCAAAGGTGCTTGCTTGCGTTGTGGATAGTAGAGACGATGCCTCATTTAGAGTGAAATCCAGGAGGAGAAGTCACTAGTGAGCGAAGATACAAGACTCTGTCAAGTCTCTACAAAACTCAGGGGATTGATGAACATCAGAGATGTATGTGGCGAATGCTCTGATAGCGCAGTGTGTAAGGCAAGCAGACACAGTAACAAAAGGAGCAGCGGAAACCCAAGAGAGTCCTAGTTTAGATGTTGTGGGAGTAAAGTCGTAAAACTTGACCCTTGACTTGTTCAGACAGGCTGAAAGCAGTTTGTCTGAAAAGATAAATATGGGCTGGACATTTGTCGATTTTAAAATCCAGTGACCATGTCTCATGCTGGCAACGAGCTTGACAGAACCAACATCAGATGGTCCCCCACCACTCGTGTACTCTAACAATAACAATAATGAACTCAGGGGCATTCTGGCAACATGGGCAGTAGAAACAGGACTGTTTCAGATGCAGAAAGAGTCCAGTTATGTCCCTTCCTTTTAAAAATCTAATACTCTTTGCACACCTGGCAGACTAACGAGTGCTGCTGGTGCTAAGAAAAACAATTACTTGAATGAGGACATATTCTGCAGCAGCAGAATATTTTAATGTCCGTTTGGAATTAACTAAAGATGCAAAGTTTTGGACAGTTTTAGAATTAATCCATCCCCAATGAAAGAGCTCTATATCAGTTTTGCCAATTAATTGCAATCTTCTTCTTGCATTCTTTGTGCAGGCAGATGTAATAGTACTCTAGAGGCATGTTTCCTTTAGTAATAGGGTCAATACAAACTTATTTAAACTGAGCAGATTTTGTAGGATGTGAAAGGAAACACAAAAATATTTACCATATGAGTTGGCCAGTAACAGATACTAAGGCAAAAAACATTTTAAGGCAAAAATAATTTGTTTCCCCTTTTCCATTGATTGTTTTAATGGGCCCTGATAGGAATGAGATAATTAAAGGTGTAACTGTACATGACAAGGAAATGTTTTATAAGGGAGTTAACTGTCATCATTATCTTACTATGTATGAATTATTTCAATAATTATAATGACAATGGTAATGGTAATTAGACAAACAGTGACACATTGTTCCTTTCATTTTGAAACTCCTGGTTGGCTTTCAGAAATAGTTCAGATTAATAAATTGAAATCCTAATCAAATCATCAGGGACTTTGATCAAAGAGGGATCCCACTTCAGTTAACACAGAAAGACAGTATGGAAACCCTCAGCAGGACAATCAGCCTGAAAATAAATGGATGGAGAAGAAAAAGATCTTGATATGGTATGTAGCAGACATTTTGCTTAAACCTCCTTAGAATATTTTTTACTCAGAACACAGAAGCTATCTGGGAAGACAGCATTCAGAATTCACAGACCTTCTGTGTTTTGAAAACACTGTGTTTGAGTCGTTATCACTGAGTCTGAACAGTGCTCAGAGCAGCCAAGAAGAGCAATAGTTTACAAATCAAAACCGCAATCTGCTTCTCTATTGGCAAATGTTGAGGTTGTCCTGCCAGCTGACTGACAACTTTATGTGTCAGCACCAAAAAGGAAGTAAAACAAATTAAGCCTAGATGAAAAGAAAAATATAGGCAGACTTAGCCTGGGCTGAAAAGGAAAGCTTTTCAAAGGAATAACTGTTTCAAAGTGCTGCCAGGATGAAGCCCAGGACTGACAGTTTCAGCAATGTAAATGTAATACTTCATAATAACTGATTTGGAGCTCATTATCTATTCTTCTGTCAATTTTTTTGTTTTTCTCTGCTCTTAATTTAGGTGTCTAGGATGCTCCGAGAAATGCAAAATAAATATAAGATTAAGATCTAGTCAACCAAAGGCTGCCATAGTCTCTGCTTACCTATGTTTCCCAAGCGCAGATGCAGTCTACCTCTAACAACTGTGGAGACTTCAATTGGCTTTATGCTGCCATGTTGAGAAATATTGCTGCTTAAAGCCATGGAGTCCTGGAAATAGTCTGTTGTGATCACCTCCAGCTCATGCATTACTTGGACGGCAGGCCTTCCTTGCCGCAGTAAATGCTACCCGAGAACAGAAAAAAAAACCAATACATATGAATGACGAGCTAGTCAAGCCCCTTTCCACTGAAGGATAAAAGGTATATTGTCTAAGATGTGTTTCACTTGGCTGTGCCCTCCATTTCCAACTGCTGCTGATGAAGACATTCCTAACACAATATAAAGTAAACTCATTAAGTTAAAAAACAATCTGGGGGAAATATTTTCAGTAATGCTGCAGCAATTAAAGCTTCAGATACTATTTACAACAGTAGCTGGCTTACAATAAGGGTAGCCAAGGAAGTTTTCAGTAAAAAAATAATGTACATTAAACCACAGGGACCTATTACATGGAAGGTTATCACCTACTAACTCTAAAAACAAAACACAACATTAAATTCTTTTGTTCTGGACTATTTTATAAAAAGGGTGGTATATTTCAACCACAAATTTAATGCAATACTCCTTTTTGCAGATCATTTAATATCTTAATTTCAGATGTGCATTTCCAAGAAAAGCTTCAAGCATAAAGTACAGGATGAAACAATAATTTACAGTGGAAATTATGTATAAGGGACACAAACATACAGGAAATAGCATGTATCTTACACATAAATTCTGTATATGTAGATTATATACATACAGTATATTTATACTTACTATATATATAAAAAAATATGTTTATTGACACAAACATATGCATCTTTTAATAATATATACTGTAAAATCTGGTCACCAGTTTGTCCTCCCCTTCCCTCCACAGTTGTAGGAGACCGGATACACTTTGACAGGACAATGTAATAGGGGACAAGTTACAAAGTCAAGTTTCTTAGTTTAAAAGAAGGTCAACAAAGGCACACAAAATAATAGTCTCTGTGCAATATTCTCTCATTCACTATATATAATTTATACACTGCAAATAAACGAAGAGCAAGCACTATGAGAAGCACTCAAACTAACAATAGTCTTCTCTCAATATGATTTTATTTTCAGGTAAGGGAATCCTATGCCTATAATGCTTAGACCTCTAATCCCTTTGATCTAAAAAACAAACCTGCTTCACTTCCTACCCTGTGAACAATGAGCAATGTCAAACACACCTTGAGCTCCACAGCCGAGGAGCCAATCAGGAGCAGCGATTCTGCATCCCAGACGTCAATGTGAAGGGTGTGAATGGCCAGGTAGCGAAGGAACCACTGCTTCTCTCCTGGCTTCAGAAAGCCCGGGTCTAAAAGGTACTTCAGCTGCAGGCCAGGGGACTCTGCATAGAAACAGCACAGAGTAAACACTCAGGTACTATACTTCTGTACTATAAGAGACAAAATGTTAATCATTCATCCTGTTCTGCAAAAGCCATTAACATACCTCATTTTGTAAAGAAAGCTTTGACTTAGGTCAGGTACAAATGCACAAGAAGTGAAAGAAATGTCTCACCAGGTTGTTTTTGTTTTTCAATTTTAGAATATTCGTTCTTATTTGAGCAGAACAACTTGCTTCCTTCCCTGTTTGGGCAGTATTCAGGGACAGATTCTATCTAATCTGAACCACTCATGAGAATAGGACCCTGCTCACCAGCAAAGCTTAAGTTGGAAATCTAGGAAAAGAATCAAGGCAGGAAAACACTGTTCCACATCAGAGCTTTCATTAAGCAGAGGTCTAAGGCACTGATGTATTATCTCATTGACATATAAGCAGAATGGGTGATGCAAGACCTGGGAGTCAAAGAACGGAGCAACAGAACTGAACCTGATTTTTGCAAACTCATGCACAGGCTCGAAAAAGATCTAGCGAGAAAGCAAGCCTGGCTGTGTAATTCCCCGCTGAGTTATACAATTGAGCTGAGCAGGCTGACTGGGAGCTTCTTGCTAAGGTGTCTGAGAACATGGATCAATGGCAACAAAATATATATATATTTCTCTCTAACCTTAAAGAAGGATCAGAAAAGTCAACACTGAGAGGCTTTTGCTCTTCTGTATTTCTGTATTTCAATGACTGAGGCTTTATTTCTAACTGAATAGCTGAGGTTAAGGGTGACTAGGGAGTGCCAAACAAAAGTGCTTTTGAAGAAATTTATTTTAAATGTTTTTATTTAACATTTATATTAATGCATATGTTCCCTACATGTTTCACCCATGTCTGGGCTTGTTAAATAAAAAAATGTTTTCATTTTAGAAGCAAATCTCTGTTTTTTGGCTTCTGAAATCTCCAAGTGTTAACATTTGGCCACATAGAAGAAAAAGAAGAAAAGGTGCAACAGAAAGACCAATCAAAAACCTGTGATTTCAAGGGTTGAAGACCAGAGATGCTGTTATATGACTTCTGAATCTGTATCTGAGGTACTACAGCACCACAACCACCACAACTGTATCAATTGCAATGCAATTACATTGCATCAGTAGTCAGGTCCCAGAGGAATGGTTCAGCAGATCTAAGAACATAACTTTTTCTTTAGAGTATTAAAAATGTCAATTTCTGCCATAAATATTTGCCACTAATAAGCAAGCATGATTAAATTAATTTTCCAGGCCCTCTTACCAGAGTTAATTATGCCATCCTTGTTAATAACAGCTAGAACACAGGGGGCTGGCTCTCTGGATGTCCTCTGTGATCCATCCACATCGAGCAGCTGAAGTCTCTGGGTTGACACAGGAGGAAAGCGGTACAGCTGGAAGGTGAAATAAACTGAGTGTGGCCAATCCGACTTCACCCCCACCTCAGGCACTCTACAGAAAACAGAAACAAAATCAGAAAATACAAAGCAATATAAATCTCCGGCTCAAATTTAGTCCTTGGCAATAGTACTTTTGTCTTAAAACAATGTTTTTTACTTATGTTCAAATATGGAAAGAAGGGAGTTGGAAAATTATTTTTGAAACAAAATTATGCACAATTCATTGAAACAGCCAATTGTGATTTCAATAGCTTAATGTACTTGCACAAGGGACCAATAAACATGCTGTGTACTGTATACAAATGAGTTAATACAGGTTGATTCCAAAGAAAAGGTGTAGGAAGACCCAGACTCCCAAGGGAATAACTAGTGATTTTTCCATCATTAGATTTTTCTAACTGTAAATCAGGCTGATTTGGGTGTAGTATGGGCCTATGCATGGAACAAATGGAACAAGTGTAGTTTGATTACTCCTGTAAATATTTATACAAGGCAATAATGTTGCTATATTCGGAATTTGCCATATGTGAACTGTTAAATGTTCTTATCGTTAAATAATTTTATTGGTGGACTTTTATGAATTCATTATAAAACATCTTAATTTTGTTTGTTTTTAAGTTTTCACACTACATCTTTTACTTTGTCGTTGTGGTAAAAATCTTTTTGAAATCAAACACACACAATCGCCGTTATCTGTCACAGTTGTTCTCTCTCACGCCTGAGTTGCTCCATGGTACGATTTTATTTAGTAAAAATCATGGAGAAATGTTTAATTTAAAAAAGATATAAAAGGTAAACCATCTGATATTGAGTGTCAGCAAAGAGGTAGTCGTCAAACAAGGAGAATGTGACTGAATTTTCATCAAGCACAACAGGTACTCACACCTTACACAGAGGACTAAAATAAGCTTTTAAACAGAAGGCAAAATGCGTTCAACGTTTGTATGACAAGATAGTCAGTTATGGAAGGTGGCAAGAGCCTACATTTTTGTTGCAGATTCTCATGCCATTGTGAAATCTGCATTTGTACAGGTTATGCCCTTTCACACAGTGTCATGTACAGAATACAGCAATAAACAATATTACTCAAAAGGTAGTAATCCTGTTCTATGAAGTAATAGTGGGTATGAAGAACAACAACGTGTTTTTTTTTCTTTCATGTACAGAAGACATGTTGTACATCTTAAAATAAAATGCATGTATTGGTAGGGATTTGTCAGGGATAAGACTTAATTAAATAAGATCAAGCCTAATCTGAAATAATTCATCAGAACTCATTGAGGGGAAATCAACAGTCAATCACAATGCATTCAAATAATAAGGACAATAGCAAGATATGCCAAAAGTGGAGAAATCCTATCAAGAATAGTGCAAGCTGATTTAATAAGAGCTGAACTTGCTTGTCCTCTGAATCAATTTGCTTGGTAAGATTCTTCAGCTAAAAAGAGTCTGCTGAGGTGTGAAGACTTTCATTAATATTCATTCAGTAAACAGACATGATTGATAATTACAGAGCCTTAGAGAGAAATAAAAATTACACCATAATTGCAGTACACATACAATGAGCTGACATCCATGTATGGGCTCTGTGTCTTGTTCATAAGGTAATTAGTTACATTTACTGAAGAGCTGACATGAGTGATACCAGGGATGGTAACTTTAGTTGACAGCATCATGCAAAGAGGATTCATATTACAGCTATAGTTTTATTTTGCACGTTATTACTTTTTAGAGAAGAGGATTAAGATCACTGATTAACAGACTCACAGAGATACCAGTTTAATTATAAAATTAATAACCTCAATATTTATCACATTAAATTAGAAGTTTTATAGTCATCTGAATAATATGCCAGAAACATCCTTGTGTGTTACATCTACCATGATAGTTACATATGAGTTGTCTAACCAGGAAAGAGGTGCCCAAGCTTCTCCGCTCAAGAACTAACAATGTAGATTTCTGGCAAGTAACGAGGGGGTAGATCATTGGGGCAATCTAGACTAACAAATGAAACCCAGTATAAAGTCTGTTCACATGGTCAGCTCAAGAGCACGTCAGAGGTGAGGCAACTCTGCTACGTTACATACAGCCCACATGTAATAATTTAGAAGAGAAAAATGATAACTTTAAGATTAGAACTTTCTTCCAGACAAGAGCTTTCTTTAATCTAGACACCAGAATGCACACACAATTTCTTGGTATTTTTAACAAACATTCAGAAGAAGGTTAAGTAGGAGTAGTGATAAAAATCCTTTTATCTACGAACAGAGAATTTTGGTGGGAACTCAAAATCACATGAAGGCCCTGTGGGACAATGACATGTTAAAGAGCAGGCAGGAGAAATGTGAGCTGCATCAGAGCCTAGAACAAGATCAGTTTCAGAGCCGGGGGGTAGTGGGTCTCTTTGAAGCCTTTGCTCTGTGGTCACAGAGGGAAGTGCAGGGATGATTAATTTCGTGCCACTACACTTTGTGTTTGTACAGAGACAATAAGGTAAAGAATCATCTACTGTAGCTAAGCATGCCCTTCTTAAACTGATCAAAATAAATAATACATTTCTACACATTCTGCAATTTGGCAGATGCAGTAGATCAGAAATCTAACCTTATGTATACTCTGTGTATAAGTTCTTTAAATGTGTATGAAGCAAACAGGAATATACTGTATAAATTAAAACAATTATTTAGTTCTTAATGCTTATTTTAAGTATATTTTAATTAATGCATTTTATTCTGTAGTCTTATATAGTGAAGTCTATGGATATTTATACACCTGGAGCAGACAGGGGTTTTTTAAAACTTAAGAACACACTATTATAACATAATCTATTTACTGAATTAGTGGGTTTAACACAGGAGAAGGAGAAGAGTGAATGTAGTTGAAGAACAATTTAGCTCTTCAGCAGAAGCTTGGACTAGTTCTGCCTGATACAGTAAAAGTAATGGGTCCAGATATTAAGTGAAGCGAACTTCAACTGAGGGAGCAGAGATTCTCCTCGGAAGCTCTCTCACAAAATTCTGTGCCTCACCCTGTCACAGAGAGTAAAACCCAGCAAAAACCCACATGTTCAAGCTCAAGGTGCCACCGAAGGCTGTGTGTGCAATACTGGAGGCACTGTAACTCTAAGCATGTGGCACAGGGCATTCTGGGTTGTACAGTCTGCTGGAGTTTTGAAGCTCAAGACCATGTAAGAAAAACCCAGCTGCAGCTAGAACATCAAATATCCCCTATTTAACTAACTGCCCTCTGCTGTAACAATTGGAACAGATCCACCACTACAAGTAACAATTCTCAGTGGGGAGGGTCATTTTCTTTGACCTTCAGCTCAACCTGCAGTGATCATCCACAACAGCTAAACAGTTGATACCATTCAGCTCCACTAATAGTCAAACACAGGTGATTTATGCTTACCTGGAGAAGGCAAGAAACTGGAGGATGATCTCATTGTACTGGAAGAAATCAGCTTCCTCTCTCTGGGGGTCAAAGTTGACCGGGTCAGAGGGGTCTACTACCTCAGCCACCTGGCTATTACAGTCTCGGACATCTGGGAACCCAACAGAGTGGAGCAGAGCCAAGGCCCCTCTCGAAATTTGGGCACTGGAGGTGATAAGCACAATGGAAGACAAATCAATAACCTTACAAAAGACCCAGTCCCCTTCACAAGACCTGAAAGACCTGAAACTCAAATAAAAGCTTCACAATGCCATAAGGTTAAGGTAATCCACAAGGACTTCTGTGAAATGCCTTACAGTTTAGTAAATTAAATTAACCTAAAACTAAGCATTAGAAATATAATAAAATCTCAAAAGAATCCAAAATAGCTAGCAAATAATTTCTTTGCTAATTGATGTTTGAGTATGGAAAGGTAATAAAATTGCATTTGTTTTAAAAGAAGCAGACCGTGGTACAGTACATCAATAGCCATTTACTTTATAGCACAGAGGATTTAGAGGGTTCTCAGCACAAGATGCATTTTAGCAGATTAACTTGAAGATCAATCCTACTGTATCAAGATCTGCTACTGTCTTTTCATAACTGAAATGTATCAACGTCTGCCTTGTACAAAACTAAAACTCTGAATTCTAACCTCCTGAACCTTTTGTAGGGAAACTTTTGAGAAATTAGAAAACACCAAGCTGCAAACCCCTGCGTATGGGAAAAAATAAATTCATCCCTCCACTATATGCATTTGAATTTACTCCACCGTAACAGACAATAGAACAAAATAATACCAGATTAATAAAAACCTAATTGCTTAAGTGCATTTTTAAAACACTTTTTCTATTTTTTAAATAATATTTCAATACAAATAAAAACTAATACCGTCCTACAGTTTTAGTTTCAAAGGGATTCAATTTAATACAACACTTATTTTTAACAATTATTTTGAACTGAATGTGTGATCCTTTTAAAAGTGGGTCAGTCTATAGAAAAGGAATAAAACATCCACAGTTCTAATACTGGATCCGAAATATATCAGTTATGAACTATTTGCAACTGCTTTTACTTATCTGTGCGTAAATGACCTTAACTCTCACAACAAAGAGTACAAATGTAATTGGTTCTTTATTTCCTTAATGACTCTTCCAGGGTTTTTTTTTTATAAATAAAGTATACACTTAACCCATGAATCCCATGTAACAACCTTCAGCTCAATTTTGTATTAATTTGTCAGTTTGTAGTTGTACTGACGTTCTTCAACAAGTTCACCCAAACGAGTTTGCATATAATTCAAGTTCTTCAACCTAGTGTTGTCTAATTATGGCATGCTTTTCTGTATTCTGACATGCCTGTCCCATCTCAACCACATTTTAACATGCTTCCATCGCAATTAGTGATGAAATAGCCATTCTCAAGATTTACAAAGAGCTACACAAATTATTCTTGCATGAGACATTAAAAATGAAAAAGATGGCTACCTCAAGATCGCGTTAGACTTTCAAGATAAAATGATGGTTTTCTTTTAAAAGGCTGTGGTGGCTCTGAGTACCTCTGATTAACCTATAAATCTGTGAGCGCTGGGGGCTGGCTCTGTTGATGGCCGAAAATAGGCTGCCATCATTCTCACCTCGGCATCTGCGTTCCCAGGGCGACGATGGGTGCGTGAACGGGGGTGAAAGGCAGCTCCTGGAGCTGCTCTGCGCTGGGGGACTGGGGCTGTGGAGCTGGCAGGCTGAGGTCAGCCTCCAGGTGGGCAATACTGCTGGCAAACGGCAGCTCCTATTTATTCACACAGAAACAAAGACCCACCAAGCACTTAATCAGCTCAATGTGTCACACTGGAATGAAAAAAGAAAGCCTCAGAAGTATTTAGTCACCAAGCCACCAATATTAAACCAAGAAAATGTCTCTGCATATTAACACAGCAACACATGGCACAATTTTCTATTTTGCACCCAACCAAATGGAGGATATGGTTCAATAGGTAAGACAGGGTGATACGGGCACACAGCAATGTAATACAAAACCCCTCACCATGCTTATTAGCGTCTGCAACCCAAAGTCATTGGAAATTGCACTGCATGTCTACTTTTTAAGTACAGATGAAATAATTGTATATTCATTTTCAGGTCAGTCCGTTCTTCAGATAATGGAGAATTTAATAATTGCTTTATTATGGTGCGGAAATGACCGTGAAACAGCAAACAGGGCAGACCTCTAAACATATGTGGTCGTGATAAACTGCAAATGGAAGGAGGCTATTTGAGAAAACTATACGCATTAAATGGATATGCTTCGTAATAATCAAACAGGAATAGGAATATCCACACCAGGATAAATTCAAGTGCTGAGATAATGAAAAAAAGCTTCAAAGTTTCACATTTAGTTGCTTCACAGCTGCATGCCCCAAGCAAATTAAAATTGTATGCTTGTCTTTCGAAAAAATGAAACACCATTTACTAAAGGGAAAAAATAACTCATATTTAATAAAGTTGTACAGGGCCAGTGGTTTAACTGGTGTTCATTTTTTACTGAATACTGCAGCTGATGCAACAGCAGTAAATGGCTGAAATGGGAAATATTTCTGAAACCTAATGAGCTAAATTTGAACAATAAATTTAACTTAATGTGCTTAAGGACCCTCTTCATATTTATTAGCAGAATAATAAAGCAATGTTTTATTTGGGAAGAGAGTACACAATGCTATTAGAATATGTACCATTCCCATTTTAATTTTATTTTAGCCACAAAACACACGTTCCTTTGCTAATAAGCAGAGATACAGTGCCGAAAACTATGAGTACCTTTTAGGTATAATTTATGTTGCCCTTTAAACCAGCTCTTTTCTAGCACATTAAAACAAACTGAATATTTCAGCACCCACACCCAGACATCAAATTTCTAAAACAAGTCTGATTTAGGAACTGCCATTACACAATATAATAAGCTCCAATATAACTCCCAAACCATTCTGTCTTATTTGACAACACAAAGTCAGCAATAATTCAGTTACTGCTTCAAAGTATACACTTCCACAGAACTAAAGCCTTCCACAATTACAGATCAGGGCGTTCCTTCTGGCAGTTTATACATCAGAATATAAAGTGTTTGGACCCGCTGAGGCCCAGATTTATTAAGTGAAGTATGATCTTTATCATTGATCTTCTTAAGTGGATATGACTTTCACAATTAAAGGTTATCCATCAGAGGGCCCATTCATTTCTTGACTGTCACGCTTCATGATCCAGTATACTCATTTCTGTTTCCTGACCCTCAGGGAAATCACAGCTTGTGGACAGCTGTCAGGGTCCCAGGATAGCACCACAAGTCTCACAAATTGATGGGATGTTCAAACTGCAGTCTGGATGATGTCCACAAAAAAACAACAAAATGCAATAAACAATATCTGTCTTTCCCAAATCTCCACAGACTTGTGTAAAGGACTGTGCTACATGACTTTGCTGTTATTGCTGGAAAAGATGTGTCTATCAGTGCTGAAAAGGGAAAGGATAAAAAAATCTTGCCTGTTGACTGGCAATGAGATTTCACAAGGAGGAGCACGATTCAAGGTAGACCTTTAGCAAACGAAAGAGGTGAGAGGTTGTTTTCTTGAGGGAGGCATTTTGAAAGGCCGAATGTGAATCTTCTTATTTTGCATATACTGTAACTAGTAATTGAAAAAATCAATAAAGGCTTTGTTAATATTACAGTAAAAAGCATACAAAGGAAATCCTGAAGGTGGTTCTCTGAAGTAACATGGGTTCTGTCCTACCACTTACTTAATCCCCTTGAGTTCTTTGGATTCTATGTGAACTTTCTCACATTGCCCCCTTTCAAAAGGTGTAAAAGGACTTTTGAGGGTTAGCATCAGAAACAGTGTTAACTTCAGGGCTCTCAGAAGCCATTATCTTGTTTCTTTAACTTGGAACATCAGAAATCAGAAAGTGACAAACAAACAAACATGAGAAACAAACAGCAGGCAGGTACCCAGGCTGACGTTGTGCCCTTAAGGCTGAAGGGCAGATCAGACGTGCGTGTGGGTGGCTGTGTTCGTGGTGTGTAGGAGTAGGTACTTACAGCATGTGACAGCTGGTAGGCTGCTGCTATCGGGGAAGGCAAGAGCTGACAGGGAATCTGTTGTTGCCATGGAGATGCTGTAGAATGGCTGATGGTTGGGTAGCGGGGAGACATGGAGATCCGAGACATGGACATCTTTAAAAGAGGATACAAGTACAGAAATACAAGGATTTAGGAGGATGAAAGAATTAAAAAATGATAAAAAGGCAGAATTCGTGGCTGCCTGCATAATAAACTTGCATGTGTGCAAAAAAAAAACAGAATAAAAGGGTCAACAGATGAAGTTTTACTCAGTTTTTTTGTGCACTGCGTGGGCAATATGCTTTGGGATACTTTTCCATCCATGTGGCCTTAAAAGGCTGCTTGCGTTTAAAACCTAACCTCAGTTCTACCTCAGCAATACAAAAGGCATTTAATATTCATTCCTTGCCCGTTAAAAACACTTTACTGTGAGAATGTAGCAAGCCATATAGGCCATATAGATGTGGCATTAGACCATACTTATAATATAAAATCAAATAGAAACACAATCTTGGTAGTGATGTTTTTCTGTGGAATACAGAGTTAAGGAGCCTGGTACTCTAGCACTTGGAGACAAAGTGCTTGCAGGTCAGAGAATGTGCATTTACTAAGCCTTTACACTTCCCATTTGCAAGCACATCCCAACATTACACTGACACACCACCTTTCTCTCTGCTTTCTGTGGACTGTCTTCACAACCTATACCCCTACTTCAGGACAAGTGCAAGATGGGATTCTATTCTAGTCTGGTGTTTAAATTAAACCAGCGATGAAGGTGCCGCATTGCTTTTTTCTCACTATTACACTGAAACAAATCATGCTAGAGCAGACACATGATATCAAAACTGGACATATACAACACGCAAAACCTAATCGCCACATGACCAAAGTCGTCTTCAGGATAAGACCATTTCTTAGTAAAAAACATTAAGAGGCTCATACATACTTACAACAGCTGAAGCAAATATTAAAGTACACGCAAACATATATAAAAGATTAGCTGTGAGATAACACGTTATCTGTAAAGCATTGTGAATTTTACAGAATGTGGTCTTGTTACCAGGATTTTGCAGAATGTGGTTTTGTTACCAGGATTTTACAGGTCACTTAAATCCAAGGTTCCTTGTTGCTTTCTCATGCTCTTCCATTGAAAAACAGTGAAACAGTGGACAGTGAAATCAATGCCATTTCTCCGCATTTGATATACAGTAAGAGATGCACATCATGGCTACATTCTTTGTTTGTCGCTACAAACATTCCATCAATCAACAACCGCTGCATTAACTGTGACAGATTCGCACAATCTGTTAGGAATCAACTTTAATGTTTTTACACATTTGTAAACTTCAATAAAGGCTATGCCAAATAAAACAGCATTTAAATTTTAAGAAATTCACACTTGTAAATTCTGTTGGCTTTGGACAGAAAGCAATGCATCTTTCAGTATCTTTCCGCTGTCAGTATATACCGTGATGAAGTAACTGTCTTTTCAGACCAATGAATGATGCATTGCTAGGTAACCGTACGGAGACGTAGACCAGCAGGATTGAAGAATTAGAAATGCATTTAAAATGGGAAGCAGTTAACACAGGCAGAGCAGTAAGTTGATAGACACACAGCCAACAAGAAAGGCTGAACTGCATAAAAGCTGAAATGTTTTTAGCTCATAATGCCAGAGACTTTTGACCAACTGCTCTTGTAGTGATGGATTCTAAGAGATGCTGTGGTTTTTCCTTGGAGTTCAAGACCCCAGATAAGTGCTGACTAACAACATTATGATAAAGTGTAACTTCTGAACTAGACTATGAGGACTACAGCACTATTACCAACCTACAGTAATACACAGAGTGCTTCTTATCATCCCAGACTTGCAATCATCTTCTAAGGAATGAAAACTGGAACTTTTTTCATTAATCTTTATTTTATATATTTAAATATATTCACATAAAACATTACACAAATTACATTCAAAACTCCAAATATCCTGTCCGGCTACGAACAAAGCGTAAAAAGGTGCCAAGTATCTGTATATACTACAGATACTGTATATGTTTATGAAAAAAATATTCGTAATTGGCTGCTTTGTCCTACATTACTTTAGGTAGTAGTGAAGAATGCTTCCTTTACCAATAAAAAAAAACCTTAGAAATTAAAGTGACCTTTATTTACAGAAATCGACTTACACCAGAGCCCTGAGGCGATCTTGGAGGGGAAGTGTGGGGCTGAGAAGCACTTCGGCCTGAAAAGCAGATGAAGGCAGTTATTAACTACGAATAGCTGTTCATTTTCTGTGCTTTAGTGCAGCTACGGTGAACCAGCCTGGGATCAATGATGATCATATTAAAACATTTTTGAAGTTTCTTTTAACTCTAACACCCATTAAAAAAAAACATTGAGAAAACTGATTATGTGGATGACTGAGTATAGATGAATCATGAATTCCTGAAAATAACTGAAAATAAAGACTGGAAACCTGCTGTAAAAAAAAACTGCTGTGCAATTTGGTCACTGATGTTTAATGTAATCCCTTGTAATTAAAAAAATGGCCTCTCTTATACTTACCTGAAAAGTTGAAAGACGAAATTAACCACAAAGAAATAAATGCCGACTCATTACCATGCCTTAGTCAGAAGATAACTAGCTTCTTTGTTTCTAATTCAATTAGTATCTTTTTCTCTTCATATTTGGCAAATACAAAAGCACAATTTGGTCTCATTTCTTTCTTCAAGCTATGTAACTCAAGGATTTGATAACATCAATTAATTTACTCCCATTAGATCTCATATACCAAGGCCTTATTAACTTTACAGCTGGGCAAAGCAATTCGGAGGAATACAAATGAATATAATGAAAGCACATTTTGCAGCAAAATTTATTTTTAATTGCCTTATCACATCACCAATTGAGTTTTCAATCAAATGAGAATCTAATTTCCTCCTCATAGCAAAATCAGTACAGCAGAACAGGTTTAAATCTGCCCCATAAAACACAGAGTTAAAACACTGTATAGAGGAATCATTCAAGGTGAGGAACAGCAGCAGATGAGCTGAATCTCCTTATCAGGAATACTTAAGAAATAAATAAAAGACAAGCTGTGGTGAAAGACAGATAGACGTCACACAGTTCATTGCGCCCTTGTCATTATAATATCCTCATTGCTATAGTTCAATATTGTTTATCCAATGATTTAACCTCTTCTCTAGGTTATTCTCATTTTAGCGTTTTTGGACGCAGAACGAACTTCAAGATCATTGCTATGCTAGCGTGCTCTGCTTTTGGCCACCCTGTGTGACTGACACAGTTCCCAGACCTTTTCACACAATTTTTTACTCCATCTGCTTTAGACGTCTCGAGTAGCTTAACTTAAGTTACTCACCAGGATACATTTTCATCAATGCTTCAATTCTGTGTCACATCTACTTAATACCACAATGGTGCCCTGAAAGAAATCCCTATCTACACTGTTATACGGGGGAAGCTGTAATTAATACAGACTTGTTTCTAGTTTTCCTTTAAATATTCAAGCACTTTGCCTCATTAGGGAAATAGTGGATTTACTAGCTATGACTCACTGATCTGTCACGTTAAAGCATAATTTGAAGGGTTGTTACTGGGAATTATATCCCAATGGCACGAAAATGTCTAATAAGTGTTCCATTAAAGGTTACAGAAGACTGTGTGAAGCCTTTTCCCCAAACTCTTTATGGTGGCAGTCATGCAACCAATCTTCCACTATGCCATGCTTTTCAATATTTACATATTCTTGAATGATGAAAGGAAACTTGGGACTACAGCACATATATTGTTTGTTTAAATGTAGCAGGTCAAAGACTTTTAAAAATGGCCTATCATCCAACATACAAAATGTAGAACTCTAATATATACCTCCATGCATCAATGGTGATTCACTGCTCTGTTTGCCTCTGTAATGAGAAACGCCTTGGTTCTGATCAGATGAGTGAAAACCATTCTTTTGCTATTATATCAGAGGAAAATGCAGAAAGAGCAGCTCCTTTCAAATTGTTCTGTGTTTTATTACCGATCTATGCCCCTAGAGATCTACAGAGATACAGTAAGTAGGTATTCCACTTTTTACTAGTATCCTCTGTTATTCATTCTTTAATAATTTTGCCTTTGGTAGCCTAAGGGCACTAATACAGTAGTTGCAAAATATGAATGTAATGCCTTTTATTGCCAGAATATTTATGCTGTAAAATAACACTAAGCATAAGCAAAAATAAGCTTTATAAACTGTTTTTCTTTCATACCACAATGCAATTCTTTGGAGCATTCAACTAGTAACCTACACTGTTTTCTACCTGAAGAGGAGTGACTGTGTTTTATTATTAAGATCACAGGAATGTCAATGAGTTCTACCATGCGTCTGGAAGATAAAAACATCATATGCAAGTTAATACCCAGAAAAATCCCTAGGGATCTGGCTTCACCTGCTACTTTATCAGACAAAAAATGAAAACTCAAATCAGGTAAATAAAAAGGAAGGGTAACAGGCTCTGCATTAATAGCATTCAGTTTCAGGCACAGCGCATTACAGAGCTTCTGGAAAAGGCAGCACTGAGCTGGGGTTATGTGTGTGTGTTTGTTGGCGGGGGGGTGAGAATGGAAATTGCATTGCGAATTCAAGTGAATTTCCACAGCTGTCGGTGGATTCAATTTAACTGACATGCTATTACTCTTCAAATCAATCTTTTTTACCCTCAAAAGCCTCTGTCTAAACCAGTTTGTTGCAGCTGGAATGGTCAACTTTTGTTTCATCCAGAATTTCAGGTGCAGGTCCCTGGAGAAACAAATTCTTGCAGGCTGGTTGATTAATAGAAATTAGCAGGCCCAAGAAATACTCCCAATGTATGCATGACTACCTGCATCTGTCATCAAACAAATATGTGACTACTGATCCAAGAAATAGGATGGTACAGTAGCTACTGTACCTTGAAGTGAACTGTAAATTCCAAAACATTCATCTTATAGCTACAGTATTTAACCTCTGTCTCTTGAAGTGAGGTCCTAGGATCTTGGCGGAGTGGTCTAAATTCCAGACGTCTCCAGACTGAACAGCTATCAACGGGAACATTAAAACCAGGCCCCAGACATGAACTATGCTGCTCTCTGGTCTGTCAGTATAAAGGCTACTCTTCAGATGCATCATTCATGAGGGGCCCTTTGCTATTGATTTTGATCCTATGTTGGACCAGCTCTCCTTGAGATTGGGTTCTTAGCTTTCTCAGGCCTCAGTTCTGTAAAAAATCTTACAATCTAAGACTATAGCTGTAAAAAGCGATTCCAAAATGTATCTCCTAAATTCTAGAGAATTGAGCAAATGTAGGTGCAAAAACAGGTAATATAAGTACTGTTTTTCATATAAAGAAAATCAATTTTTCAAAGCTAAATTTTAAAGTTTAAAATAAACCTGATAGAAATACTATACTGTATACTGACACAAATATTGACGAGAAATAATTTACTCCTATTAGTTTCTGAAAAAATACTACTGACCATGATAAATACTTTATTTCTGGCAAGCATTTGGCATTCTTACAACATTATTTTAATTGCTGGAAAATAAAAAAAACATTATAGAAAAAAAACTATATACAACATCTACGGTGGCAAGTGACTGGAAACAAATCTGTATATTTGTTCAGTGGTTCATAAACAATTACTGTGTAAACCTCTCTTTTAATGATTCACAAATAATGCACTGACAACAGTGTACAACATGCATGGCACACACAGTCAATTTTTGGAAGCACATGATCTGCATTTAGTTCACACATTACAAATCGCCAATTTAATGTTCTCACTGTTTGCCTTTAACAGCGATGAGTACTAGTTAATGGGAAATTTACCACACTGTTAATACTGATCACTCAAAATCTAACAAACAGAATTAATTAGATTTGCAATTTTTCTCTTTGTGTAATTACTTTTCAAAAGTGAAGACATCTTGTTATGATTTCGTCTTAAGAATTTAATGTGCTTTAGCTTGAAACGGTACATTGCAAAAATGTTTTTTTTAAATAAAAATCCATTTTATTGTGTTTTCAGGATTTCTTTCAAAATCTTTTTTTAATAAAAGGCAAAACACCTGAAGTATTACAAATCTTTACTTCATTATGTATCTGTTCTTATCAGAATTGGAAGCCAGCAAAAAGATCACATTCATAGGGATTTCTAAAATGAACTGCTTTTTAGTTTTCCTGTTTGTTATTGCAGTATCATTGGTCGAATAGTCCTGACATTACAACATTCTGCTTCAGTCTTGACCTGAACAAGCCTGAGTTTCAGCACAGACCAACTGCACAGCTCTGATGCAGTAGTTTGCCCTAATGATCAGGAAGAACCTTTACAACAAAGGCAAACCCACTTTGCAGTCTCAAACCCAGGATGACATCAGAAAAAGACACAGAGCATCCACTAAGATACTCTCTTGCATGCATCCTTAATGTAATCATTTTAATAGTGGTTTGACAGAACAGACATAATACCTTTCAGGAGTAATTTGCACTGTCTGAGCTACAGTATGTCATGAAAGCACTTACGGCGTGAAGGAGAAGGGGGTTTCCTCTGACGGGACACTTCGTCTAGGCCACTCCCAACAGACCTAATGGGACTGGGCTCACGGCCATCCGTTCGAACTGAAAACCTGAACCGCAGAGTGCCGCCCTCCACTTCTTCCATCTGCAAAAACCAACCACAAGCTCTCAAGCTCTTGATCAGGAGGACTTATCAGATCTGTGCAAAACCAGCACAAAGTGATCACAGGGTGACAATAATAAAGAGAAGGGATTTAAGAGATTTTTCTCTCTCCGGCAGAGAGATCAGGTTTCAGCCTCTTAATTGTTTCAAAGCTATGGAGTTCACAATATACAGTACTGTCTAGACAAAATATTAGGAACCCAGTCAAATGCACAGGGAGTCCATCAACCTCTTAAGCCAGGACAACACCTAGATCCAAATCCTATTAACACTTGGGGGAATAATATTTAATATCATTATCCTTGCCACAGCTTCAAAAAGAGGCAGTTCTGAGTTGGGGTTGGGGCAGAAAACCTTGTAGAGCACAAATGTTGCTAGTTTTAGGTTTTTCTTGCCACTCATAGAGACCCAACATATTACTAAATTGAGGTTCCTGCTATTTTGGACATTATGTCTTACAGAAGATCCTCACTTTAAGGAGGGTAGCCAAAGGGGACCTTCGCTTACAAAACAACTTGGACACAAGATATAACAAGGTCTAAGTTGGATTGTTTATATACAGTCAGACAAACCCTTTTGGAAACAAAAGATAACCTTTGTCTCTATGAGCTCTCACTGAATTGGAGAGAATACCCTCACTATAGACACTCACTATACCCTCTCCTGACATCCAAGTAAACCAAAGACTTGCTTAAATATACTGTTTGCAGTCAACCAAACGTGCAAATATACCCATTCCATTCAAACAGAATGCAATTAGTCATTACCACAGTATTTATATTTTATATTGTCAAATTCAGTTCCAGTAGTGACTTTCAGAAATATCACCTGTGTCACTGAGAATATAAGCAGTATTAGGAACACTGCATCTCACATATTTAAAAGAGTCCTGCTTTCCTGGTGCATTCCAAGAGGGAATTGCAAGAGACAGAAGAGAAACCTTTTTGAAATAAAATGCATCACGGTTCTTTATTTCCAGGCAGGCATATCTGTCTCTAAACATCTCATGTCATCATTCTGCAGGGCTGCTCAATTAGGCAGACAGCATCATGGAGAGAGGTAGAATGATTTACTTTGTGGAAAGAAACCACAGTAGTGGTAGTGGTGACAGAAGGCTTGGCTGCATCATGAAAAACCATGAAAAGAATGGAAGAGCAGCTGAAAAAATAAGGAGGGTATTGGGGGACAATGGCATATATATACAGCTCTGTGCAAAATTATTTGACATTTTTCATTGTTCTAGATTTTTCACTCAGTGTTTTTCCTTATTTATGCAGAAATATAGTTCTATGGTGATCTTCTTTTTAAACCTAAGCCTTTGTTTAAAGATAACAATAAATCTCAATTGATCTGTATCCTGGAGTACAATAATTAAAGTCTAACTTAGGGGATATGTAAAGATGAATGTATGATGTTAATAATGAGGAACACTTGGGAAAGGTACAATTTTGAGCACCAAGGCAACATTTCATATTGGATGTAAGTCCAGTTTACCTTGAGTGGTGAAATTGCTTAATGATAAGCTTTATGTCTTCAAACTATCACTAAGCTACAGTATATTAATAGCAGTCAAAACTGTTATAACAGTAGAAAACACTAGTGGAGTCTTGGGGTAAATTATTGATTCACCTGAATCAGTAAATAGTAGAAGTCCTGATTGAGAGATTTAAGACTTAAGCACAGCAGTCTGTATCATAATTTATAAACCAGCAGGAATTCCTCTGTCTTTGAATGATGGAAAGTCATGGAAATAAACATTTGGTCAAAAATAATTTGCACTGCACAGGGGACAGTGTAGAGCAGACACTGAAACCAATATGTTCTCAGATGAGTAAAATGACATATTAGCCATTTACAGTCATACAGTACATCCAGAAATGCCTGTAACTATATTGTGTAACAAACGTGACTGCTAATATATAAAGATGATTATTCAATGTAACCCCCAGGGATGAACATTGTCTTGCTAAAGTAAATACATGTAATTCTGACCGAACCTCCAAATACTACAGTTTGTGTGGATTTCAACTTAAACTGTATAATTGGCAAACCTTAAACACAATCACAGGATAAAAAGAGAGCATGGAAGCAAACTGACCCAATTTAACCTGAAAATAATTGCTTAGCTTCCAGACAGTGGGAATAGGAGTGCACTGTAATGAAAAGCTTTGGTTTTACAGTATGTGATGTAAAGAACCTAAATTCCAAAGAACCTGTTTCTTAAAACCGAATTCTCTAAACAGAAAAAATCACTTTAAGAGCGGCAGGGAATACATTTAATTGAATAAAACTATGGAGCCTAAAAATTTAAATTAATTAATCAGAAACATGAAACAGAAACAGAGAGAGCTCTACAGAGATGTTATGACAGGTTAGGAAACATTTTAAGTTGCAGAATGTCAGAGCTGGCTGTTCACAGCACAGGCATGTCAAATTCTCACTAAAGGCTTTGTTGGGTTTTTTAAAAAGCATAAAGGCTTTTGAAGGGATGTCCAACAAATGTGTCAATTTCTTATGCATAAATCATGCCATCTTCAAAACATGGTGTGGTGGCATGTCTATAATGTTCCTGAAAGCTGCAAGCATGTTTTTTTTAAATTATTATTAATTCTACACATACATATATACAGTACACTATATACAACACAGGTGTGTCTTCACAGGCTAAACTTTATATACTGTAGGTCTAGATACAGATACTATTTCTGTTACCTCAGCAGAGCTCATGCCAGTGGAGGGCGCTCTGTACACCATGACACCGCTAGGGTTAGGCTCACTTCCCCCCTGCAGAGCTAGGCTGACTTCAGAGTTGGCACCACTGCCAGGCTCCACAAATGGGCTCCACACAGCCCAGCGAAGGCACTGCATAAAAGCCGTGTGAGAAAACAAGGTGGTGGAGGATGCCTGCAAAAAGAGAAAGAAATAAGACACTTCACAAAATCCCAGTTATCTGTAGTACATTTCAGAAAGTTTTGGGTCTTTCCTGGATCAAACATTAACTCCCAACCCCAAACTCCAGCACACAAACATTTTGCCTTCCATTACATTTCCCATCACAAGAGAAGATGGATCAAAAAAATTAAGAAAAATATAAACTAAGACTGAAAGGCAAATTAATCTGTTACTGTAGGCAGAACGCTTAGCCAATCAACTGGCTTGCCCAAGCATTGAGATCGCTCACTCACAAATGTCAGGGGTATATTCTTCTGTAGCAAGAAAGCAGATTTCAGTAAAGATAGAATTTTGGTTTTTTTTGCAGTGTCTTGTTGCCTCTGTGTAAGAACTGAATGAATACACGCCTCTCAAAAATTACTATCTAGCAGGACTTCTGCATTCAAACATTTTGCATATTCGAAACTGAACAGAATTTGTAATACTCTTTCCCTAACTTTGTGCACTTGCACACAAGAAACTTTAAGCACAGATTGGATGTTTATGAGCTATAGTACTAAACTGAGATTTTGGGTACAATTTGCTGTCCAGAATCTGGCCCTGGCAAACGGGAAAGTTTGGCCATTTGTCATCACAGGCTCAGGTAAGTTCTGCTCTTGCTGAGGGAGAATTGTAAACAGAGCAAACTGCACTTTGCTCTGAGTGATGTACTGGAACCCATTTCTGAAAAAGTGACACACCATCAATCCCTGGGATGCCAACTTGTTTTTTTTCCAAAAACGAGAAGATTTGTGGTCATGCGGACTTATACAGCTTAATTAGATTTGGACATACAGAAGAAGATTCAGTTCAATTTTATGTTTCATATAGCACTCTTTATATGTTGTCACAAAGCTCTTTCACAGCTATTTACAACCTGTGTAATGATATTTTATAGAAATGGTGCTTTAAATAGTTAATTGAGATATAAACACAAAATTACTTATGAATTGTATCTGATGATTTCTTGTACAACCATTTTTTAAGTTAATCAGACGAATATCATGCCCAGTACAGACTACAAAATATAAAAGTAATGAATTAGGTAGAATTCAGGTGGATATTGTTAAACTTACTCTTTTAAAGCACTTACTTAAGAAACAACTGTGTAAGTTGTTGGGAATTATTTTATTTTTTTTACACCAAACACAACACACCATATTCACTTCATACAATCGTTAATGACAATGAATGACCAAATGGAGGTCTTGGCAATAAATATTTAAAGCTATCATGACAAAAATACCGATGCAAACTGCAGTTCCAGCCTCTAATTTTCAAAGACGTCTGGATAAAAATGTTTAATTCACTGAAGCACACAATCTTCAGACCATCTGAAGGGCATTTTTTACAAACTAATGCCTTTGTAAATTTAAGCATGATTTTATGCCCAGAATTAGTACCACTGCACTCTTTAAAGAATTATATTCCTATCTGAAAATAAGCCTCAGTTGGTGCCACAAAATCAGCATTAATAATAAAACATAATATTTATTTCTACCCTCCTCTGCAATTCATTGATTCCTCCCTAGACTACACTGGCTCTTGAATCGTTCAGTTCAGCTTGAAGTGATTCTAATCAAAGTGAAAAACTATTCAAACTAAAATGCAATTGATTTGCAGGTTGACAAGGCAGTAAGGCCTGGCTTTGTATTTTGCATGTACATTTTTAATTATAAAAGTCAGTAAAGTGTCAATAAATGGATATACACTACACTTCTGCAGTGAAGGCACACACATAATAAAATGCAACAGAGAAGAAAAACAAGCAGATGCAAACTTACTCAAGGATGTTCCTTTCTGTACTACTGCCTGGATCTCTGCATTTTATCAATGGTGTGCAGCCAGGCTTTCTAAGTGCAGGATGAAGGCTAATCCTATCAATCAGATTTGGGTTTTAGGGCAGCATATGTGCTAGGTAATCACTCACTACCAATGGGAATCTGTAAAGTGCTGACTAGGGATAGGAAAGATATTTTAAATATCTACTTCAGGACAAGCAGTGAAACAAGGACCCAAGGACAAAAGTGGAATATAAGTAGAAGTGCTTTTTGAACTGAAAACAGGAAGAATTTTTTTTTTCAAAGTGCTATGGGAGTCTGAAACAAACTGCTCGGCCACTACATTGAAGTCCATTCCCCGGGAGTCTTCAAGAAATGGCTGAATCAGCACCATCCATATTACGACACTTGTAGCATTTGTAACATTAGACACAGTTGTATCATTTATGCAAATAATAATATCTCAGCCCTGGCTTTCTTTTCCACTCACAACATTTTTTTCCAGAAAAAAAATAGATTAAAATGTTAACATGATTAAATGTACACATTATTAGTGAAAAAGCTAATTACATTATGACAAAAAACATTTATATGGTTTGCAATGGGTTTTACTCTTTGGCTCTGATCTCGGTACTGTCAGATACAGCAAGAGAGAAATGTGATATTAGCTGCAGTCGAGATGAAGTTAAGAAGTGAACCCATTGTAGGGTTGAATAAGATGTTCAAAAATGTCACTGCTTAGTTCTTCAAATCTCCTTTCCTACTGCATGATTAATCCTATTCTGGTGAACAAAAAAATAATCAACAGAACCCAAATCTCAACATTTAAAGACTGTGGCATGATCAGTTCTTGATAAGACCCAAGTAATTTATAATGACACTCCTTTTCTAGTGACATGAAATCCACATGTAATTTTTAGGTATGAGAAAAGCAAATAATCATTATTTATTAATATATTGTTAATTATAATGATTGTGTCATGTTCTAAACAGTATTAATTCTTCTGCCATTGTAAGCTTCTAAATGTAATCCTACCCTATCTTTCTCAGCCCTGTCCTGAAGGACCTGGTTTTCTAATAGGTTAAGGCTTTTATTAAACTCTGTTCTGATCCATTACCCTAGTCATTCATGAAGATAATAACAATTGGGTGTGCAAATGTATAAATACCACGTAATACTCAATTTAAATGACAAATATAAGTAAAAAAAGGGCTTTTCCAACACAACACAATTAAGGTAGAACACTAATAACAAATCCCTCTCAAATTCAAACACTTGCATGTAAAGAACAATCAGACAATGCAATACAGATAAAGTCAACTCATATGGTGATAAAAGGTAGTCTCAAACAGTGATTTTGAATTCTAAACTTAACATAGTGAAGGTAAAAAAAAATAAAGGAGAACTGTCATCAAATAAAAAATTAACTTAAAGCCACTCACTTTGTGTCTGCTAATGAGCACAGAAATAGTAAATTAATTACCCTTCATGAACACGGCCTTTTAATTCTGCTCTTTAAAAAGTTCTGTGATTTCCCCATTTTATTTTCTCCACATCATTTATTTTAGCCTGCAGAAGAGGTTTGGCTTGTGGCTAGCTGTCTTTTATAATCTATTCAAAGAAATACCTGCACTTTTAAATACTGGAGACCAGGGTTTGATTTTCCAGGGTAAGCATACAGATCAACGCTAATGAATCATAGGCTATTACACATGCTGCCTGTCAATTCAGATTTGCATTCAGTATGGATCCCTACAAAGGTTCTATGTTTCTATAAACCTTTTGTGGCCAATTACAAGGAATGAGATACGCAATGACATTTTGGATGTTATCAAATCAATGCATAGTAAAGCCTTATAAATTACATTACTTGCAGTATAATGTGATGTAGTTGACTCTCTTCAGAAACAAAGGGTGGCATAATACATTACATAAAATCACTTTACACACTGTACAAATTTTCAATGACGGCATCAGATTGTAAGAAAGACAACAGGACAGTGGACAATTTAAAATCAATTGGGACTGTTAAACAAAGTAATCATTTATATTTATTCTAACATTCAAGGTTAAAATAGGGCCACCCAGAGTGCTCACTAACGTCACAAACAGCTAACATCCAAAAGGCACCAGCATGTATAAATATAAAATAATTACTGGCAATCAAAGTGCAGAAGAGCTACTGCATGACTTTTCAGACCTGAGTCACTGCCTTCTGTAAGGTAGACCACAGTTGAAATAATTTGCTTGATATTGCCCTCTATCAGTTCTGATGAGCCCAATCAGCAGCTTTTGCCCAATGCCTTGAACCCACAAGAACAGCATATCACCTCAATCTTCCACAACTAAGCCTCAGCAGGCACAGGACAACACTGGTACAATACAGATAAGGCACAACAAATGCCAAGACCCAGTTTCTGATGCAGTGCATAATTCGGATCTATCTTAAGTTACTTATATACTTTTGCCAATCATACATTCACCTATCTATTAAGAAATTAAGGATTAAATCTATAAACATAAACATATAATGCCCAAATCCATTCAAATGCAGCTCTATTATGAGAGAGAAAAATAATTTTACTTGCTTATGTTCACGGCAAGTAAATCAGCACAGAAAACACATTTGCAATCAAGTCTTTTATTTAAGAGGCACCATCTATCAAGTTAAAACATAACCTTGGGCATTGCATTGTGTCACAGGTTCCTAATGTGTTTAGTCTCCAGCCAGCCTTTTACCAGCAGGACATAAAAGCTGCAAACATGCCAGAGTTGTGGGTTTAAATCCCACTACTGCCACTTGAGTTAGGCATTTCACTCCAATGGCACCAGTGAAATACCCAATAATAGGCACAAGTTCAAATTTAAATTACTCTGGATAAAAGTGTCATCTAAGTAAATATTTCTTATAATATTATGAATAATAATATCATTATGTGTGTGCTCTATAAGGAAAATGGGAAAGTTAAAAGAAATATCAAAGGATTACTTTTAACAGAAGGCAGTTTGCAGCTAGAATAAAACAGAATGTAATTTGTATTGATAAATATGTCAAAACTAACTGTAGTGGAAAGTTACGTTCTGCCAGAGTGTGTTAATGATGTAAATGGTGGGAATGACATATGGCAGAAACAGTTGCTGAATCCTAAAATTCAGTGGCATGCTGTGACCATTGTTAAGGTATGCATTCA